CGGAAGATACACCAGGCATGGGGAGAACTTTGCAAGGGAAAAACCCAACCACTCCAGAAATGGGGAGAAGAGATCGAAGAGAAACTTCCCCAGAGAAGAAATACAAATTGCCCAAAAGGTGTGAGTTTCAAAGAAAAGCGTGTGGCCTCACGTGGGACTCGGCATTTGTGGCAGAGGCCCATTCCCTGCTGGCCCAGGGCGATGGACGGGCGAAGGACCGGGGAACGGAGAAGCAGGGCCCCAGGCTGGTAGGTGGTCGGTTTCTCTCTCTCCTGGCCAGCACGGTCTGATCTCGCCCGTTACTGCACAGTCGTAGTCGTGTTTGTGGTGGGAGTCCCAGTCATCATCGTTCCTCACCCTAGTTCCATCCTCCTGGTCCTCGGCTAGTTCTCGCCTAGACCCTATATTCCTAGTCCTTTTGTGTGAACACAGGAAGAAACGTTAAGCGTAAAGCTTGGCTCTTCCTGTGGACATCTCGCTGTATAACCCAGACCACAGTCCTCAGGCCAGGGCAGTCTTTCCTAACCCCAGCAGGGTCCTAATCCAGTTGCTTCTTTTTGCAACTGACAGTTTGTCCCCTGACCGCGCTCTTAACTTATTGTACTTATGGCGCTTAGCTTACCCCCTTTCGATGCCAGGGTCGTTCACAGCTTGCCCTGGGTCCGGCCAGTCCGCTCATCGGGACCCTTCCTTTGGAGGCGTTAGGAAGTAAGGGCAACTGAGGTTTGAGTCGGGTAAAGATGATGGATGCCCAGGAGTAAGTATTATTTTGGAGTCAGTTGACTCCCATGTTACAAAGCGTAGCATCATCTGTCTTCCTGTGTCTGTACAATTAGGACATTGCTAGATAAACCGTGCAGACGACGTAAAGAAAAGCAGTATAAGCTCATTAGTGCTTGATGGAGGTGGGCGTGCCTCGGGGGCACTTTGTGGGCGTGACTCAATAAACCTCCGCTCCCTGCAGGAGGAGCAAGGACAACCCAGTGTCGTCCAACAAAAGGGCACATCAAAAAAGGCTCTGCAGCACCAATCATCAGGGAGCTGCAAATCGAGCAGCGAGACGCCACCTTAACCCCAGGGACGGGCACTTGTCGGGAAGAACAAGAGCCAGTGCCGGCGGATGCAGGGAGACGGACTCTCCTCACTGCCAGTGGGAATGCCAGCTGCTCCGACCTTTCTGGAAAACGAGATGAGCACTCCTAAAATAAAAAATCGATAAATTGAGCTTCCCTTTGACCCAGCAGCCCCACCGTGTGGAAGATACTCCAGGGGCCCAGAACCAAAATGGAGAAGAGACCTTTGCACCCGCGTCCCTAGCAGCACTGTCCAGAGGAGCCCAAGACTGGGCGCTACCCATGTGCCCGAGAACAGAGGCGTGGCTAAAGCTGCGGTCCGTGTCCGCAGTGGAATCCTGCTCGGCCAGAAGGACAGATAAACAGGAAGTTTGCTGCTGCCTGTTGGGACCAGCCGAGTGTCACGCCGAGTGGCGTTTGTAAGGGGAGGGACAGACAGAACGACCTCTCACGTGCGGGAGATGGAGGCACGTGATGGGGAGGAACGAACACCCGAGACGTGGGAACAACCGAGAACTGGGGCCGAGCGGGCAACGGGCCCGTTGAGGGTGGGGGGCCAGGTCGGGGAGGGGCAGCGCCAGCCGGGAGGAGAGTGTGCGGAGCCCCGTAGCCGCAGTGCCGAGAGGCCTGTGTTCTCCCAAGTGCCTCCTAGACGCAGCCGCGCAGGGAGAAGGGCGCCTGAAACATCCGTGCCTGAGACCCACTCAGCAGTAACTTAGTCGTTTTACTCCGACTAAATTTTTTAAAAGAAGAAACTAATTTTAAAAATAAATTGCTGTTCTGGGGGCTGGAGCAGTAGTGTGGTGGGGAAGGCATTTGCCTTGCATGCGGCCAACCCGGATTCGATTCCCAGCATCCATGTGGTCCCCTGCGCATTGCCGGGTGTGACCCCCCAAAAAAAGCAAAAATAAATAAATAAGTTGCTGTTCTTCAGGTAACTCCCTGGAAATAGAGTAATACCACCAGTGATCCCTGAGCACAGCCAGGAGTAAGTCCTGAGCAGCACAGGGTGTGGCCCAAACAACGGAACAAAAAAAATAAAAATAGGAGCAATAAATGCCAGCTCTGTGAGGCGTTTGCCTTGCACGCAGCCAACATGGCCGACACAGGTTCGATTCCCAGCACCCCATGGGTCCCCTGAGCACCGCCAGGAGCAATTCCTGAGTGCACGAGCCAGGAGTAACCCCTGAGCATCGCCGGGTGTGACCCAAAAAGCAAGAAAAAAGAAAAAAAAGCCAGCTCTGTTCATTTGAAATCTCTGAAGCTTTACCCAAAAAAGCAAAGGAAGTGTGTGGATGGGGCTAGAGCAGTCGTGCGGCCAGTAAGGCACTTGCCTTGCAGCAGCCGACCTGTTCAACTCCTGGCACTCCGTGTGGCCCCCAGCCTGCCAGGAGTGACCCCTGAGCACAACCGGGTGGCACTGGAGCACTGCCCTCCCGTTGTTCATTGATTGATTGGAGCGGGCACCAGTGGCATCTCCGTTGTGAGACTTGTTGTCACTCTTTGTGGCATATCGAATAAGGGAGTTTGCCAGCTTCGCCGTGCGGACAGGATACTCTCGGGAGCTTGCCGGGCTCTCCGAGAGGGAGAGGAATCGAACCCGGGTTGGCCGCGTGCAAGGCAAATGCCCTGCTCGCTGTGCTGTGGCTCCAGCCACGCTGTGCAGTCAGGTGTGACCCCAAAACAAAAGTGGCGTCTTTTGATCCCTTTGGCTGACAAGGCAGCGTCTGGGAGGACTTCTTTCTTTTTTTTTTTTTTGTTAGTGAGACACCATGAGGTACAGTTGGAGACGTACGACTTTTTGTGCTTGGGCTTCAGTTCTACAATGATTGAGTTCCCCTCCCTCCACCAGGGCCCATTCTCCGCCTCCGGTGCTCCCAGCACCCCTCCCACCCTCCTCCATCCCACCCCACCCCTGTGGCAGGGCATTCCCTTTGGTTCTCTCTCTCCTTTTGGGTGTTGTGGTTTGCAAGAGTGGCATTGAGTGACGGTTATGTTCAGTCTATAGTCTGCTTTCAGCAGGCATCTCTCATTCTGGGAGGATCCTGGGAGGATGTCTCGATGCTGCGTGACACTTTCCAGAACATCACACCTGACCTGTTGGTGCTCATCTCCAAGCTTGCCGTACAAAAGTCAATTCCGCGGGCTGAGGGGCCTGAAGTTTCCTGCCTCAGTAGGTCTGATCAGCAACCGTCCTGACCCCACTTTTCTAGCTTTTTAGAAAACAAATCTGCATTATCCAAGAGCTGTTTCTTTCACAACACCAGTGAATTACGCTGCTCCTGCCCCGGTGTCCCGTGGGGGCGCTGCTCTCCCTCCCCTTCTGCTTGTGTGGCCGGGCCGCTCGCCAGGAAGTGAGCCTTCGTGGTCAGAGAGAGGCCCCGGGATCTGCAGCTGACGGCGAGAGGCGTGAGGCTGGACGCGACTTCGCCAGATCAGTGCTTTCTTTTCCCGAGGGGGAGTTTCGAGGCCCCTCGTGGGTCCTGGCCGCCTGACGGTTGTGCCGCAGCTACAGACGAGGGGACTTGATCCGCTCGTCTGCTGCTGGGCTGATAGAGAACAGACGTTCGTTTAGTCCTTCCCGTTAGGACTGAAGGTGTGACGGCAGCGCCTCTTTATTTGCGATGCTTGGTCTTTCCTGCCTCTGGGAGGGCACTGAGGCCTGGAAGAGCACAGATGCTGACAGAGATCAAATTTGAACCTTGTCTTAAGCTAGAATTTCGATTTTTCATCAGCTATATTTTGGACAGGTGTTCTGGTACTCAGACGTGACAGTGATTTCCACTTTCATGCTCGGGCCCTCCTGTTCCTTCACTCGGTGTTTCTACGATTGTCCCCAGGCATCTTAGCCAGTGTTAGGTACATAGTCGCAGCTTTTGAGCCCCGGGGGGTGTTAAGTTGTCCTGTGCAGGTGCGTCTTGGTCACAGGTGAGAGCTGGGGCCCTCCCCGAAGCCCGGCTCTGCTCCGCTCACTGCTGGTGAGTAGGTTTAAAACGCACTGTGCAGTGACTCGGAGACAGGGATGAGTGCCAGCCTCTTCCCTCGGGGGAGCCGGCTCCAGAGGTGGCTTTTGTGCGGTCCCTGCTGCATCTCTGACAGTGGCTCGTAGCTCCGAGGTGCAGTCTGAGCGCAGGGCATTCTGACGGGAATGGAATGCAGAGTGCCCGGGTGGCGCCGTGCAGTTCAGGCTGTGCTCTGAGAAGCTCCGAAAGGGCCCAGCGGGGCGTCGCGCTGTAGGCTCGTGGCTGTCGGAAGCGGGGTTGTTTTTGGTTTTGGTTTTGGTTCTTTCTTCACAGGAAGGCACTGGAGTTGAGTATCTGTAATTTTCATCCCTTTACATGTATACCTTAATTTTTTTCTTGCATATATGAAGCCGTCATAGAAATAATTTGAAGGAGTCATAGGAAAAAATTTCCTGGGTTCATTGGCAAGCCAAGATTTTCATTACTAGTTCTCTATTGTTTAATGTATTTAAGAGAAAGAACACCTATTGGAACTTTTTTTTTAATCTAAAAACTGATTTTTAGTCTGGATATAACTCAGTGGTAAAGTATATGCATTGCATATATGAGGCCCTGAGAGATCTCCCTGACATCAAGAATTAGTAATAAAGTCAATTTTCACAGACATCCCTTATGCTAGTAATAATCATAAATGAAACATCCATATACTATTTTAAACAAGTCCCCAGAAAAGTGCTGGGTTTAAAGTATGTATGTCAGGACTACAGATGTCCGAACTATTTCATTGTTGTGAGCCATTCCCTCTTTCAAGGACAGAGAGCAATGCAGATTTATTTGCAGTCTGGGGTGTTTCTCTTTCAAAAACAATACCTGTCAGTGTGTCATGACTTGCTGTGATACAGACCGCTGTTTGACTGGTGTGATATACTGCTCTTTGGCTGAATGTTATGTTTTGTACTGTTAGGACCTACAACTGGAATACGGCCAAGGACACTCAAGTAATTACTTCCTAGGAGCAAACAAGTAAGTAAAATCATTTTTAAATTAACTGGAAAATTTAATAAGTTATATTGTCTTCAGACGTCTATATTCATAGCACTGAGTTGGATTAGTCTGGTCAGTGCACTGTGTAGGAGGCTGCTGGCTTTCCCACGGTCCCCTGCTGGCCGTTAGCCAGGCGCCGGCACGAGGGGGATGCTTCGTGGGCCCTGTGAGAGGGGAGGGTTGAGCCTCCCAAGCTTCGGCAGGTGTCTCCGCGTCAGATCGTTTTCGTTGCGAAGTTCCCCTTCGTGTTCCTCTCAGTCCTGGCCATCATCCCTGATGCAGTGACCTTTGAATGTGGAAGTCATAGTCGTGTTACTTTGGAATCTGTTTGCTACGTTTTTAGCTGCTGGGTCTTCCAAGTCGCCAGGCTCAGCCTTCACCCGAGAGTGAAGCAGGTCTTCACCCGAGAGTGTCCTTCCCCAAGCCGGCAGGGAGGCATGCTGCTCAGAATCTCAGGCTGCCGACAGTATAGACTGTAGACGTGGTTTAAACTCTTCCAAGGATAATTTCATTGCATCGTAGCACTGAGACCTAGAAGTTCACCTGAATGTTTATAAACATTTGGGTTTCTAATTTGAACACTGTTTCTCAGCAGAGAGCCGAGTCTTCGAATAACGACCTAGAGAAACGCGTTCACCTTTATTTACTGAGCCTCATTTAAATACTACGGGGTAGAGTTTTGTTTTGTTTGTTTTTTGCTTTTTGGGTCACACCCAGCGATGCTCAGGGGTTACTCCTGGCTCTGCTCTCAGGAATTACTCCTGGAGATGCTGGGGGACCCTGTGGGATGCCGGGGATAGAATCCAGGTTGGCCACCTGCAAGGCGCCTTACTGTCGCTCAAGCCCCTGGGGTAGAGATTTTTTGTTGTTGTTGTTTTTCATTGAACACTATTTATGTTTCTTCAGATGGAAAAGTAAGAGTACCTTGTAGAAAAGAGAACCGTGGAATACTTGCCGTTCGTAGTTTGTCCTGCTTTGTTAGTGGAACAGAGTTTATCTCATAACGGGTTAGCAAATTTTAAAAAAATTAAGTGCCTTTTTAATTTTATTTTTCTAAATATAATGACCCTGTTAGCAAATTTTGGTGGATTTAGGAGAATGGGTAAGTCAGAATATTACGTCTGTATTTCGTACGGGTTTAAGCATGTTTTTAAGTTCAATGCTGGTGGAAGTGAATTTGCATTTAGGATCTGCTGTAACTGTACTTCCAGGTCCCTCCTTTCTCTTGTCTGGGTTCTGAATGTCAGGCATTTTCATGGCATACTGTCACATTCGCTAGGTAAAATCTTAATACTTTGCCCACCCTTCATTTTTTGATTGATTGGATCCCGCTTAAGGAACTGTGTTCTGTATAACGAGTCACTGGCAAGGTAGGTTGGCCGGCCGGCTCCCGTGACTGTGTCTCGTGTAGTCACATGCTTCCATGTGGTGACATGAGCATGGATATGGCGTTGTCTTCCTGTGCCGCTGTGTCTGCTTGGTTCTGTGACTGGGCCGCATGTCAGCGCTCAGGGGCCCCCATCCTCCTGAGGTCCACTGCGCGGGTCTCCCACGCAGGGGCCGCTGGGGTGCTCTGTGGGCCTACAAAACCATGCTTCTGACTGGTCAGCTTTCTCTCGAGCTCTGTTACTACTGAGGTCAGCTGTTCTCGCCATTTAAACCAAAAAGAAACCTTACTTTATTCTTAAATTAAGAGAGAACATCTAAAGGCACATCAGAGACATTGGCAAGGGTGGAAGAGCAGCTCGGAATGAGAGTCCCGAGTCCGAGCATTCGCCCTGGGCTTAGAGTGGTCTCCCGCGGTTCGGTGACTTTGAGACATTGACCCCAGGGTCTCGGGTCCAGTGGGCATCAGCGGCCTGCCCGTAGGGCCTGAGAGGGAGATGGACAAACGGGTGGACAGCAGAAGGCATTTAGCATGCCTGGCGTTTTTAAAGGAGGCCATACTGATCACTCATTCCAGCGTTGACTCTGTCAGTGTTGCTTCGAAAAGCCAGTGAATCGGAGGGACTGAAGCTGGTCTTTCCGTTTAAAGAAGTGAGGACTTTGTTTTGGCAGTACTTACAGATTGTTTTGAGCCAGTTCAGCGATTTTGAAAGATTCCCAGGAGCATGAATTCCTTAGCAGATCCAAGCGAGCAGAGGATTTCGAGGGTTCTGGGCCTGTGGTCAGAGGCGGGTTGAAACAAGCTGTCAGCTGACTCAGCCGAGTGTCACTCGGTGGGAGCCTGGGAAGCGAGCTCCTGGCTCCGGTTTTACAATAGCCTGTGATCTCTGCAGCTTTATTAGCAAATAACATAGTAAACTCAAAAGTAATCTTAAAAAAAAAAAAACCACCTCAGCCCCTTGCTAGCTGCTTTTCATGCTCATTCAGACTCTTCACTTTTTTTTTTTTTGGGTCACACCCAGCGACGCTCAAGGGGTCACTCCTGGCTCTGCGCTTGGGAATTTCTCCTGGCGGTGCTTGGGGGACCATATGGGATGTTGGAGATGGAACCCAGGTCGGCCGCGTGCAAGGCAAACGCCCTCCCCACTGTGCTATCGCTCCAGCCCCTCTTCACTTTTTCTTAGAGAGCCTCGTGCTCCAGACGGACCCTCTTATTTTTTGCAGCTCCATAAAACCCTCTTATTTTTCCACTCTTTATTGAGATTCTGTGATTCCCTATATTGTTGATGATGGTTTCGTGCGTAATCATTTCATACATTCAATGCATAAATGGGTATTTTGAAAACTTTTCTCAATAGTGAGCGCCATGTGAGCTAATTATAATGGCTGAAAGTAAAGCTACATTTTTAATCACTTAATTATTTTAATCCTAGTATTTCTTACAAGGAAAAGAAATGACTGAGCGGTAGTTGTCACAAGTGTAAGAAAATAGGTTTGGGGGACATTTTCTAAAATGAATTAAAAGCCCACAGTTTAGGAATATTTGAATTGATTAGCCAGTTCAGTGAGTAGGTTTTGGTCTCAGAACCTTTAATGATCTTGAAAATCATTGAGGACAGCAGTTTGCGTTCTAATGGCTTTCTAGTAATAGAGATTGAAGCTGAGAACTTTACAAATACGTAAGATAGTGTATGTATGACTTGTCATAAACCACACGTGAAGCCTGTTCTTATTAGGGTCCCATTCAGATGCCACTTTGGGTGCCGCCTCCTAGACCACAGGACCCCGTGGCAGCCCCGGGCTTGCAGACGCCGCGAGGCCCGACGAGCCCTGGGCTGATGCTTTAGGAGCCCCCTGACGGCCAGAGGCTGCCCTCTGTGACCGGAGAGGAGCGAGGGGCAGCGTCGTCGTCGTGCATTCCTGTAGCGCCGGATATTTGACTTCGGCGAAGGACGCGCCGCCCTTCTGCCTTACCCTGAGTCTTCCGCCCGAGTCTAGGGTCCTGCCAGTGAAAATGCACAGCGGGAATGCGTCGGGCCCCGGGGTGCACTAGACCCACAGCCCCTGTCGGAGGCTCAGGGCTGGCCCTCGGGGCCCTTGAGCACACTTGGAAAAGATTAAGGAAATGCCGCCTGGCAACGGGCGACACTTGCTGGCCGTTTGCTGTGTGTTCATTGCTGGGTGAGCACTTCACAGCGTCGGATCAACATTTTTTCCCAGCTGTTGCAACTCCCGATTTACCAGTCAGGAATCCGAAGCACAGAGGTGCCAGAATAGCCTTCCTGAGGTCACGGACCCCCGAATGCAGCGGCAGGCCCCGACAGCGCTTGTCTGGCACGCGGCCGGCATCGGTCCCGAGCAGGCCCCAGGCCCCGGGCCCCCAAGCTGCAGGGGCCGAGCTGGGCTCCGCCCGTTGCCTCCACGCAGAGCTTCCCGCCTGGCAGGAGTGCGGGGGGGGGAGGTGCCTTCCACTCGGCGCCCCGGCTTCAGCGCTCCCCTCTGCTGTTCGCCTCTCCAGGCTCAGGGCTCGTAAAACTTGGATCCAGGCATAGTTAAAACGTCCGATGCCTCGAATCCCTTCGTTGTGAATACCAGATCAGTGTGCCCTTCGGTTTCTCTGCTCCTTTGCTTTGATGATCCCGGTGTCTGTGTGCCTGTGTGTAGTTCGGCATATGTGGATGTTCATACGTGAGAGGTGCCGCCTTCCGGGGCCGGGTGCCTCGGTGGGCAGCGTGCAGGCTTCCTCCTGGCTCTTCGCTCAGGCCACAGCTGCGGGGCTTGGGCCGGAGCCGTGCGAGGCCTTCGCGTTCCAAGGGGAGGAGACCCGTGGTCTCACCACGGTGGTCTCCGGGGTCGCAGAGGCCCCTGCCCCAGGCCGGAGAAGCCGTTTGGGGGCTGAGCCTCGGGGGCAGGTGGGCCGCGAGCACTTGCCTGGAGGAGCGTGAGGGGGCCCAGAAATGCAGGCGCCGTCTCGGCCACCCCGACCGCTCGCAGAGACAGCAGGGACAGCCCCGACACCCGCCGCGGTGCCAGCCTGACCCCGGTCGGCGTGTTGGCCGCGGGGAACACGTGTCTCGGTGGCCCCGCGTGTGCTCACGTGTGTGCATGCGTGCTTCTGCAGCGTCCCCTCCGCAGGGCTCCCGCGAGCTTGTCGCCTGCAGTGCCGCCTTCCTTAGTGAGGATGGAGACGCGGACGCAGGTCCCCGCGGGAGGGCCAGGGCAGCTCGTCCCGGCGGTTGGTGTCCTCTGGGCGTCAGGCGTCCTTGGACGGGCGTTTGGGGTGGAAATCGAGCTGGGGAGGTTCCGATCGAGGCGGAGCGTCGCGGGAACGTTTCTCACTTGGGGCGGGGCGAAGTGCCGATGCGTGTGAGGCGTGTGCTGCTCACGCGTCCACCTTTCCTTTCTTTCAGGAGCCTGCTGAAGTCAGTTGAAGAGGAACTGCATCAGCGGTAACTTTGATTTTTATCTAAGCTGAAAATCCGTTCTGTCGTTGGGGGGTCTGATGAGCAAGTGTCCCCTCCTGGTGCAAGTCCTGCTCCGTGAAGGCAGCTCCGAGGGCCTGTCGGGAGCCGTGCCTGACGTCCCTTCGGTAACGGTGGGCTTGTCCTTCCTTCCTTCCTTCAGCGGGCATGTGGCACATTTAGAAGATGATGAAGGGGACGGTGATGAATCTCAACAGTAAGTTTCGCTTCTAGTTTTGGTCAAAGAGAAGGTGTCGCTCTGGCCTGATCTCATCAGCCAGGCAGGTTCCCAGAGACAGGGATCTGCATGTCACCGGCAGCACAGCGCCATGGCGTGGACCCCAGCTTGTTCCTTCTGTGCTGGCCATCCTGGCCACCTCAGGCGTCCGTAGCAGAGCATCACGGACAGACAGACAGGGGCCAGGCAAGCACAGCACGGACAGACAGACGGGGACTGGGCAGGGGCTGCCCTCGTGCAGCCTGGAGGCCCGGGAGAGCGCTGCCCAGCCTGTGAGCGCCCAGAGTCGGGAGACAGGATCCCCCGCTGCTTCCTGCCAGGACCCGGCTCTGGGGACCCCCGGCCAAGGCCCCCCCAAGCGCCCGGCTCCACCCGCAGGCACAGTGCACAGACAGCGTGCGGCCAGGGAGGAGGCAGGAGCCCAAAGCCCGTCCTTCCCTCCACGATGTCGTCAGTGGACGAGAGGTGCCGGGACGCGAGAGGAGAGGAAGGACACAGGGCTGAGGAGAGAAGGGGCTTCTCCAGCGTGGAGGGCGTGGGCGTGGCGAGCGGAGGAGCCGCAGACTCTTCGCCTCCTCCCGTCCCCTCTGCACTCGCCACCCCCTGCCCTGGCAGACGTGTGCTCGCTGCCGGGTGGCGCCTGCGTGTCCCCGCCCAGGTCCTTCCTCTCACTGCTCAGAGCAGGGACCGCCCCGCACCTTGCCCGGCGTCATCTCGGGGGCTCGCTCACGATTCGGACCTGGCACAAGCACCTTCCCTTCCCTCGGGGTCCCGGGGACGTGTCCCGCGGGTCCCCCTCCGGCCGGTCGTTCCCAGCTCCCGCTCTTCTGCGGGCGTGTTCCTCACCGCCTGTGTTCTCGAGCAGGGTGCAGGCCTGCGGGCCAGCGTCCCCCCTTCCTGGCCCCTCCCCTTAACGTTGCTCTCGCCTTCGCCCTCCCTCAAACCGCTCCAGCCCTCTTAGGTACCTGGCGTCAGTACCCCGCTGCTCAGTACCCCGTCTCTGAACAAGGGCTGCATAACCACCCCCACCCCTACGCAGGACCCCACTGCCGAGCCGGGCCAGGCACCTGGATACCAGGACTTGGACAGGACATTGGTCACACCGCACAGGGTCACATACCCGCGGCCTGGCCCTGGGGAGGGCCCTGCTCCCGTGTCCCGGTCTGTCCTCTTGCCGTGTCCTCCACATGGCCTTCCCTTGGCATGTGTACACGTGCTCGTACACATGCCTCGGTTCCCAGTAGAATTGGATCGGAACCTCGTCTCCCTCTTGGGCGTAGGACACAGATCAATTTGCAGCACTCTTGCTATTATAAGTGAAGGACGGGGAGCTTTTGTGAGGAACTGGCAGCCTCCTTAATCATAGCTGACAGCTCCAAAGAGAGTCCTTCCATCGGCTCACTGGGGTATGGGTAGAAGTTTCCAATGGGAATGTTTGCATTTGCATGCGTTCGTGTTCTGGATTTTTTCTTTTGTTTTTATGGGGGCGGGGGCACACCCAGGAGTGCTCGGGGATCTTGGCTCTGCACTCGGTCACCCTTGGTGGGCTCCGGGGACCATGCGGGCCAGGCAGGCTTCCTCCCACATAAGAGCACGCAGCCCAGGTCTGCATTTTAAAGGAGCCGCTGCTTGTGGCTGGTTCCCCAGCACTGGGCGCCAGCTGGGGCCAGGGTTTGCTTCCTGCCCTCCAGACTCCCCAACGGCCAACCTCACCTGCCAAGTGATGCTTGGCCATCTCGTTGTTTCACTGTCAAAACTCTGGTCCTGCGTTTAAGTCACTCGGCTTCTATTCAGATGCTTTATGTAACTTTTGGAGCACTTCATCAAAGATATTTCAGTGGAAACTGTAATTAGTTTGTCATGTTTCCGAGCAAAGGCACCATACTGCCTACTTTTGAATGATTCTTTGTCTAACATAAGAAAGCATAGGCATTGAGATCCTTTATGTTGATCTCGGCACTTAATTTTTGGATTTGATTCCAAAAACAAAGGCAACAAAAGTAAAAACAAGTGGAACGTGTCCAAAAGGGGAAAAGCATCTGCAGAGCAAGGGAAGCCGGAACCACCGGAAGGCCCGGCCGGCGGCCTGCGCACTCGGTGGAAGGATTTGCAGAGCGTTCTGTCAGATAAGGGCTTATCCCCGATGTATAAAGAACTCACACAACTCAGTGGCCCTTCCGGCCCCTCCCCAAAAAAATTCCCACTGAAAATACGGGCCAAAGGTCTGAGTAGACATTGTCCCAAAGAGGGCACACAAGTGACCCCAGGGACCTGGGCCGAAGACGCGGCGTCTTGGTTCGCCAGGGGCGCTGGCGAGAACCGCAGGGAGCGAGCCCGCCACATTCCCCGTGGGTCTCTGCAGGAAGGCCATGGGTGACAGATGCCAGTGAGGGTGTGGACAGACAGGCAGACTGCTCAGGTGCTGTCATGGGATATGGACTCACGCGGTGACAGGAGCGCCAGGCAGGAGTCACTGGATCCCACCACAGGACTCCGGAGCATTGCGGGGTGGCCCCTCGGGAAGCTTACCTCAGGGATGAATGGAAAATTACGGGGGAATGGAGCCCTGCGTGGGTGAGACCCCGGCTTCAATGCCTGGCACCATGGGAAGTGACCACTTGCCTGCAGAACTACCACGTGATCTAGAAGTCTTTCTTCTGGATGTTCATCTGGTGGAAACAAAACCTAGATTTGAAAGGATCAGGGCATAGACATGCGCTTATTGCAGCATTCTGTACGGTAATCGAGACACAGATGGGTCAAGACCATGTATGTGGACCAAAGGGAGCTAGTACGGGCTGAGACAGTTGGGTTGCACAAGCTGACCCAGGTTTGATTGCTGGCACCACCAGGAGGGACCCCTGGTCACCAGCAGGTGTGGTCCACAAACCAGAAAATGTCGATACATTTCATCGCATAGGACACGCCGGTGTGTGTGCACGATGAAATGTCGTTCATCCAGAAAGGACAGTTTTCACTGAGGGCAGTGTGGGTAGGTGCTGTGCTGAGGTGAAGTCAGACGGAGACTAGCGCCTCCCTGTGTGGGATGTCAGGGGTGCAGAGACGAGTCTGACCACAGAGGAAGGTTAGAGGTGGGCAGCGGGCCACAGGAACAAACCTGCAGTGGCAACACCCAGCAAGCCGGGGCCGTGGGGACGGGGGCTGTACTGGTCAGGTAGGACAGCGGGGACAGTGTCCAGGTGGTCATTTTCCGTATTATGAATGCTAGGTCATCACCTTATGTACCTTAAGCTATATGATGCTATATCAGTTACACTTGAGTGGAAGATACTTAATTTTAATGTAACTTAGACATTTCACAGAATGCTTTGGGAGGGGGAAACGGTCTTAAAAAAGAGTGCTTGGATGTGCTTTTCCTTCATATTTTAGTTATATTTATTTGTAAAATTAAGAGTGCTAACTTTAAACTTTTGTGTTTTTAGTTCAACCCTGAAAGTAAAAGTTCCACCTCCTTTGCCACCAAAGGTTGGTAGGTTTATTTCTCACCATGGTGGGGGGGAGGGGTTGCTGTAATGTTGTATTAATAATAATAATATTGTTTTAGTGGTCACTCTAGTTTATTTTCTCAGATCCATAGAAAAGAGGTACGAAGTTGCTGATCATAACTAGATGATCATGATTTTCTCTTTAAAAATTATTCAACATATCAGCGTTCAAATGATCATAGAAATTTGTATACTGAAAATAGTTGTATTCACGGATTAGTATTTTCTTTGGAATTTAAAAATTCATATTTCATAAGACTATTTTCCATCAAAATCTGTAACTGATTTCCTGGGGAAAATATAGTAACTTATAAATATTTAATCTTGGGAAGGTGTTTTCAAAGTGAAAATATGTCCTGATCTACAGAGAGCAGGCAACAAAAAATAAAAGAAAAAGAAAAGTGATTTTCCAACAAAATCCTCTCATGAAACAAAGGCATAATGAAATAATCCCAGCTGATTTCTGGGGAGACAGGTTAGTTTAGGTAGTTGTGATGTAAATCCGTATCATTGTCTTTATTGCGATTTTTACTGGTAAAGGAATCATCCCTGCGCTTGCTGTCAGGTGTCGGGTCAGGGTGCTGGCAGTGCTGGCTCCTGGTCCCTGGTCACTGGTGTTGCCCAGCACCAGGATGCACAGAGCCAGGGCGAGCAGCCTCCTGGTCTCTGAACGGCTCGTCAGGCCGGGTCCCCGCGTCTGGGGGTGTCCTAGCATCTCGGCGTGGGAGGAGGCTGCCTGGGGGCGCACGCGGGGTCCCAGGGAAGGCTGCCCAGGGGCCCACGCGGTGTCAGGGGAGGCTTCTGGGGAGCTTCCACAGAGCCCGAGGCTGCTCCCCCGTCCTTTTTCCCGTGGCAGCAAAACCTGAGAAAACAATTCTGTGTATTTCTAGGATAGAAATTACCATCACCTGAATGAGATGGTGGGATAACCCTGAAACTCAGCTGGCAAACACACTTGAAAGCCTTGTACAAGTACAGTATATATACTTGTATAACATTTATATTCGGCTGTGTAAATACAAATATGGTTGTTGAAGGAAGATAATTTTATTTAAATTATTTACGTTTTATTAATAAATTTTATATTAATTTTTACTTAATCTCCTTTTCTCTATTTTAGCCCAAGTCCATATTCATACCCCAGGAAACTCATGCTACTGAAGATGACAATCAAGGCACAATCAAGAGATGCCCCGTGTCCGAGAGCCCAGCAAAACCATCCCAAGTCCCTCCAAGACCACCACCTCCCAGGTTACCTCCACAGAAGCCTGTTACTCTAGGTAATGGGGAAGGACAGGGGCAACAAGTGCGTTCCCAGGCCTCCGTACCACGTAGGGAGATAGAGGAGATCTGCTTGGGGCCACGCCCAGGGACGCTCTGCCCCCAGGAGTCACTCCTGGAGGGGCTCAGGGGACCATACAGATGCCGAGACCAAACCCAGGTCAGCTCTGTGCAAGGCGAGCCCTCGCCCTGCCTGCCGTACTGTCTCTCAGCCTTGATGAATTGCTTATTCCTCGTTATCACTTGGGCTGGAACGATAGCACGGTGGGTAAGGCATTTGCCTTGCACGCGGCCGACATGGCTGGCCCAAGTTCACTCCCTCTGTCCCTCTCGGAGAGCCCGGCAAGCTACCGAGAGTATCTCGCCCGCACGGCAAAGCCTGGCAAGCTCCCTGTGACGTATTCGATATGCCAACACAGTAAGAACAAGTCTCACGATGGGACGTTACTGGGCCCGCTCGAGCAAATTGAACAACGGGAGGACAGTGCTTTATCACTTATCTTTAGTATGGGAACAAGAGAAATCAAAACCTAACCAAAGAAAATGTGGTTTGGTGTTAGGCTACATCTGATTTAGAAACAAAAATAACTCGTTTCACTTTATTTATTCTCATTCCTTAAAATGTTGTCATTGTTTGCTGATATTTTACTTTCAGTTAATAGAAGAAGTTGCTTTTCGGTATAGTTTCATATGTTGCATTATGCAAAAGAAACTCCTGGGGGCTGGAGCAATAGCACAGCGGGTAGGGCATTTGCCTGGCACGTGACCGACCCGGGTTCGATTCCCAGCATCCCATATGGTCCCCTGAGCAACACCAGGAGTAATTCCTGAGTGCATGAGCCAGGAGTAAGCCCTGTGCATCGCCGGGTGTGGCCCAAAAAGCAAAAAATTAAAATAAGAATTTATTTTTAAAAAATTATGGAAAATGGGTTGGAAGTATCTTATGTGTCGCGTGGCCGCGAAGCTGATTCTATGACTAACATTTTTTAAAATCGCAGCATTTCTTAAGATGAAATGCCTTGTTTTTGTCTGGGGCCACGTCCAGCGGTGCCTTACTCCTGGCTCCACGCTCAAAACCGTGTTTGATGGGGTTCAGACAGGAGGCAGCAAATCAAACACATACATACATACATGCATACATGCATACATATGTATATACACATCATATACATATACATCTTATTATCTCATTCCTACTTTGGACAAACTGGCAGGCTACTGAATGTAACCTGCCCACACGGCAGAGTCTGGCAAACTCCCCGTGGCATATTCAATATGCCAAAAACCGGTAACAATGTTGGCACTTTCTAAAATCTCAGGACTAGGATGAAGGAGATGTTACTGGTGCCTGCTCAAGGAAATCCACGAACAACAGGATGACAGTGATACAGTGATTTAAAAAAAAAAAAGAGCAACGAAACTGTCCTTTAAGGGAGCCACTAAACTCTCTTCAGTAACTCTGTATATTCCCTACTGTAAATTACCCTTTTTCTATTATATTTATTCTATAAATTACCCTTTTTCTATTTAAGTAGAAGAATATGTTATTTTTGTTTTGTTTATCGAATCATTGTGAGATACACAGTTACAAAGCTGTTCCTGGCTGGGTTTCAGTTAGACAATGTTTTAGCCCCTATCGCTTCACCTTTTGGTTTTTCACACAAGAATGGGGAAGAAAGGAACTGGGACCTCGTATCCCACTGGGCGAGGGGAAAGAGAAAGACAGCCGGGAGCGGGCTCAAGTGGTAGAACATGGCCCACGCACAGGGCCGAGTCGGACCCCAGGTCCCAGATGCCCCGCTGTGCTCCTGCAGCCCATTGGTGTGACCTTCGTGCCTCCAGCTGCCCAGGTCTGAGAGGGGACTCCAGATCATCACCGGGCGTTGCGGGGAGTGTGTGTGTGTGTGTGTGTGTGTGTGTGTGTGTGTGTGTGTGTGTGTGTGTGTGCAGGGGACAGGGGAAGGAGAGAGAAGAGAGAATCTAACACAGATTTGTTTGAAAGAGAGGGAGAGGCAAGGGAAAATTCATGAAGAAAAGATCGCACAGAGGGGGGGAAATTGCAGACGAGCAGGAAGAGCCGGGTTGCCTCGGTGGAGGCTGGCGTGGTCATCGAGTCGCGCTGCTGTCCGGTGCCACCGTTGAGCTGGACTGTAGCCATCCGAGTGGGTCTCACCTGTTATCCCTGTCCTTTGAAATTCCAGTGAGCTCTTCAACAGTCGTCTACTAATCATGCATTTTTTTTTAATGTAGGAGTAATGCTATTTATCCAGCCACTGATTAGGCTGATTGAATTGTGTAATCATGCATTTTTTTTAACCTGACTGCTTGGCGTTAAAGTAAGAACATCCATCTGAAACTCGTGAATATATATTTGAAACTTCTCTCTTTAGGGCGAACTATTCTGGTTAAGTCATCTCAAAGAAAGGGTGAAACAGTATCAGGCCTAATACTTTTCTTTCCTGCTTGGTATTTCTAGTTAGACGATTTTCATGAGAATCGATTCTTTTCACCATATTCAAACTTGTCTTGTTTGAAGGAAACGGAGTGAACTCCTCCCAGTTAAATGGTGAACGAGACGGTCCCTTGTATCAACACCAGAACGAACACCGAGGCACAACTCCTTCACGAAGAGAAAAGAAAGATGTCCCGGTGGGTGTCTAAGTCGAGACTCTGCCTGTACTCATTTCCTTCGTCAGTCCCACGTTCACGTGGCACTTTCAGTGAAACTATAGTGACTGCATGTCAGACGATTGGTCTCTTCATATTTCAGCTGTCAGAATGACACATAGGTCATTTAAATTTTGAAAAAGGGTTAGTTTTACCTTGACGCGCTGGATCATTGCTTTTTGTTTATACGATTTTGATATTGGCTTCTTAAATGTAACGAAATGTGCGGGTTCTGAAATTTATTTTTTAAAATAATTCACAATTTATTATCAGAACATAGACCAATTTTGAACATAGTATATGATAAGATGTGGCCTTCTACATATGGGAAACAGTGTTCTTGTGATTGATCAAGAAGTGGCTGCGATTCTTGTCATTGATAAGAATCCTTTGGGGGAGCTGGAGAGAGAGCACAGCAGGTAGGGCATTTGCCTGGCACGCGACCGACCCGGGTTCGATTCCCAGCATCACGTATGGTCCTCTGAGCACAGCCAGGCAGCCAGGAGTAACTCCTGAGTGCCGAGCCAGGAGTAACCCTGTGCATTGCCGGGTGTGACCCAACAAGTAAAAAAAAAAATTCTCGGGGAGTAGAGTGATAGTAGAGAACGGGGTAGGGTCTGTACCGTGCACGCGTCTGGCCCAGGTGTGGTCCCCGGCATCCCATGTGGCCCCTCGAGCACGGCCAGGAGTAATTCCTGAGTGCAGAGTGAGGAATGACCCCTGAGCACTGCCAGATGTGGCCCCCAAACAAAACGAAGGTCAGTGTTAGAGCCTGGTCGCCGGGGCTGGGAAGATCGCCCAGAGGGGAAGGGGCTCGTCTTATACGCAGTCGGCCCTCCTCTGGCCCCTAGAGCCCCAGAGCACAGAGCCAGGAGTAACCCCGGAATAAAGCTGGGTATGGCTTAAAAAAAATTTAAGATAAAAAATAAAATATGGCTATAGCTTCTTGAAATTGAAGGAAGTTTATTATTACTTAAATATAAGAGTTAACGTAATATTCCGAGTTCCTTAATTAAAATCTTCTCCAAAGTACTTGATGTAGCTAAAGGAGATCAATACAATATAAATGGGTATTTTGAAAAAATGAGAACAATTAAATCAGAAATTCATGGCAGTATTTGTAAATCCTTAAAATTATATTTGAATATATAACAAGAGATAGTACAGAGCTTACACCGCTTTCCTTTCATGCAGCTGACCATGGGTTGATATCCAGAACTATACAGGGTCCCCTATGCACTCCAGATATGCCCCCAAAACAGAAAAACACAAAACCAAATTTCAGAAATGTCTAGTACTATCCAGAATACTTCTTTTGCATCATATACGTGAAATCAGTTAACGGCACCTTTTTTTTTAAGTTATTCACAATAATTTATTACATTCAATATTCTAACACCAGTCCCACCATTACACCTTCCCATCACCATTATTTCAAATATTCCCACTACCCCCAAAGTCTGCCCCTAAATAATTTGTGCAATATTGCTTGTTGTGAATAATCCTCTAAAAATTATCCCCAAAAAAGTTTCTTTAGAAGAAAGTCTGTGAAAATTGTTGTATCTCACCCTCGAGCCATTAAGTCTTTGTACAAGAAATCACTGGGCTGGAGCTATCGATAGCACAGTGGGTAGGGTGCTTGCCTTGTACGCAGCGGATCTGGTCCAACCCCGGTTCGATTCCTCCACCCCTCTTAGAGAGCACAGCAAGCTAACGAGAGTATCGTGCCCACACGGCAAAGCCTGGCAAGCTAACCGTGTGACGTATTCGATGTGCCAAAAACAGTGGCAAGTCTCACAATGGAGACGTCACTGGTGCCCGTTCGCTAACATGTTGTTACAGGTTGAGCCTGTGTGCAGTTTTCCTTTTTTGATTGAGATCAGTTGCCTTTACACCCCCATCAAACGTGGTGTGCTACTCTCGGTACATCAGTGGCATAGAGTGTGAGACGTCCAGTGTATAAAATCTCCAGGGATTCTAAAATTTTAAATAGAGTGATCCAGCTGGAATTAAATTTTTAACTGGGTGGTGACTCTGGAGGTATCCCTGCAACTTGGGGCCCTCTTCGGAGATTTATTTGTGAGTCTCTGAATCGTGGCCGTGAGTGAGTTTCGGTGGCACCAGAGGCAGTCCGTGGGCATGACTGCCAGGCTCCCAAAAGACGGGGCGATGGGGGTGCGTCGCCCATTCCCAGCCATCCTGACTCCGTGCGAGCCTGGAGACTTTAGCCACAAACCCGCGTACGTGGGTTTTTCGGCAGATTCACTCCTGGATGAGGCTCGTCTGAGCCTGTGGTGAACAGTACCTTTTCAGCTTTGTCAAGTATCATTCAAATGCTTGTGGTTTATGTCACTTTGAGAAGAAATAGTGACATCATATCTCAAAAATGCTGTTATTTAGATAACTTTAGAAGCAATGCAGAGTTTCATAAAGTTCATGGTTGTGATTTCCCTTTCACAATTACTGGTATACTTGACCAGTTATGAATACACAGCTAAATTCACCAAAGTCTAATTCTTCAACTGACAAAGCACATCATAAGTGACATTAAGATCATCTGTACACCGGGAGTAAACATTGTGTTACACATAGCAGAGTATGTGAGTGTAAATTGTATTAAGAACTCCCACAAACTGACAAGAAAAAGTGACATAGGAAAAGGTTCATTCACAAAAGAGGAGCTACAGGCAGCCACACAGACGTGTTTTCAAAAGTTCTGGAGTTGCCAGCCTTTCCTGAGTCGGGGCAGGCAGCCTCCCCAAGTCCCACCCACGTCCCAGCCCACACCGTGGAAGCTCATCTCCTAGAGACTCAGTTAAACACCAAAAGAGAACAGCTAAGCAAAAGCGTGTCTCAGATACCCGCCCCGCTGGCTCCCTCCTGCCAGAGCCCAGAGCCGCTGCCGCAGCCCGACAGCTCTCGCCACGCCCCTGCTCTGGCGCTGAAAGGTTCCGGATCTCCCGGAGGGTGCAGCCACGAAACTCCACAGCATCAGCATCCCAGGAGCAGCTCGCCAGACTGAATGGGGTGCGACACGGAGCCAGCTAGTCTCAGCTGACACGAACAAACACGGAAGCTCGTGGCAGCAGCTCAGTAAAGCCCAGACAAGCTCTTAGTGTCTCGTGACGGATAGAACCATTTTCACGGGTTTTCTTTCACAGAGGGTTTTTTTGGTTTGTTTTTGATCATCCCCTTGGTCAGTTAGTGATGCAAGCAATATCAAAGAAATCACTGAGGGCTGCTCTGGGCGCAGGGTAGTGGGAGGTTGGGACAGTGGAGACGGCGGAGGAAGGTGACGTGGGGGGCTTGGGGTTGGAATATGGAAGCGGGTAAGAGTCATCATGGCAACTTTGGAAACCACAGTGTTTAAGGGGGGTGGGGGATAGATACTGGGTATTTCTACATGGATGCTTAAGTATCTTAAATGTAGGGAGGTAGATACATTGAACAAGGACCTGGCGTTGGGGTTGGCTGTGGGGGGCGCAGCCTTCCTGGCAGTGAGCCCCTTGGGTTTCTGAGCATCGCCAGGCGCCGCGCTGTGGGTCCGAGAGGACAGGCGGTGCGGGGCCTGTGTTCTGCCGGCATCGAGGCCTCCTCTCAGTACACACAGGACACTGGGTCCTACGTTCTGCGAGAGCAGATACCCGACAGCGGCGGAGGCCGAGAGTCGTCCTGCCCTGAGCCGAAACGAGCTGGGACTTGATTCGGGTCGAACTGAGTCTGCTGGCTGGCGGGAAGTACTGCCGTGGCCTGGTGCTGAGGAACCATGTAGCCTCGGCCCTTCCCTGGGGCTGTGCAGAAATGGAGCTGGGAGGTGCGGGGGGACACGCCTGTCCGTGAGGACGGTGTCCCCGTCCTGGACGAGTGCAGCTGTGGCCAGAGCCGCGAGCGCCTCGGCATCTGTCCTCGGGCCTGAGGTGGGGTTGCTCTCCCGGGAGCTCCAGGAAGAGAGTGACGCGTCCTTTTTTTCCTCCCTAGAAGCCGATCAGTAACGGTCTGCCCCCAACGCCCAAAGTGCACGTGAGTATAAACACCCAAGTTTTATCTTCAAGCCAATGTAGTTTCTTGCACGTGCACCTTTGGCCGCGTGTGTTGCACGGTTACAGATTCTCCCCGGGGGGCTCTCCCTGCGGGTGCCGAGGCTCCTGGGCAGAGCCGGCTGCTGCCCCCTCCCAGAAACAAAACGGAAGGCGGGAACAAAGAGCCTGTGAATGAGACTTTTCTAATATAAGCTTGATGACGTTTGGAGCTGTTTTCCAAAATGCGTTTCGACCTTTTTGTAGCTGTGTGTGAAGAAATGTGGAAAGGCTCGTGATTATGATAGAAGATGGAAAAACTTAAACTTTGAGTTCTTGTGGTTTTGGCTGTTTAAACTGGAAGGCATGTCTTGTAATATCTGAAATAATCAGCAAATGTGCTTGATGAATTAGTATTAAAATCAGAAAGTAAAAGTTTTCCCAGGAGGGGAGATGCATGCTGAAAGTAGACTATAGACCGAACATGATTGCCACCCAATGCCTCTTTTGCGAACCACAACACCCAAAAGGAGAGAGAACAAAAGGGAGTGCCCTGCCACAGAGGCGGGGGCGGGGGATACTGGGGTCTGTGGTGGTGGAGAGTGGGCACTGGTGGAGGGATGGGCACTTGATCAATGTATAATTGAAACCCAAACACAAAGATTTGTAAGTCTACAACTATACCTCATGGTGTCTCACTAATAAAAATTTGAAAAAGAAAAGTAAAACTTTTAAATGATCCAGGAAACATAATCAAATGCCTATTTTTTTTTTTTAAACAAGCCTGGGGTCCAAAGAGCCAGTGCGGAGGGCAGGGGTGAGGCACTGCCCTGCAGTACAGACGGGACAGACGCCGCCCAGCCCTTTGTCACTGTGCTTTGAGCTGTGGCAGTTCTTCTGGGCCCCGGGCACCACACTGGTCGGCCCAGAAGCAACGCTGAAATGAGAAATAGGTCTGTCTGAATGATTTAGAATTGAAATGTATGTACGTGTGTGTAAATATATGTGTGTGTACATAAATTCCACAACAGCCGTATTTTACTTCTAAACCAAATTCCGTGATTAATAACTATTTGAAGACTCATGAGACCAAGTAAGAAAAAATTTGACCTGTATAGATGATTAAAAGGAAATAATTGTATTGTTCTTGGTGTGAAGCTTTGATTTGCAGCTTCTATAAACTAGTTTTTGTATCGATACTGTTGCTGTGACAATTTTTCTTATGTGAGAAGAGAAATAACACTTGAAGTAAGATTTTTCTCTGTTAACCGTTGTTATGATCTGACCCTTCCTAAGACCAGCGTTGGTTTTCTTTTACTTTCTCAGATGGGTGCGTGTTTCTCAAAGGTGTTTAACGGGTGTCCCTTGAAAATTCACTGTGCGACATCATGGATAAACCCAGAAACAAGAGGTATGTTTTTAAGTTGTAATTTTAAAAGCATTTTTTACATTCCTTTGTTATTGTTTTCTGTACAGTGGCTCAGAAAACATGCAGTTTTACTAAGATATTTCGGGAAAATTTGGTTGAACTAAAATCATTTTAAAGATAAATTTCTCCCCGTGTGCCTCTGGGGAGACACGGTCCAGTTTTGCTGTCACCCCGACCACTGTAGGGAGCCACACTCCGGGCCCTGGCTTCTCCACAGTGCTGTCCCACGGGGCCAATGCTAGGCACTCACTCCGGGGCCCAGCGCCTGCCACTGACTCCACCAAAGTGTCCCTGTGGGAGTCGAGAGCGCTGGCTGGGACCCCTGGCCGGACCTTTGTCCCCGTGCCTCCTCCCTCCTGCTGGAGCGGCTCTTACCTCACCGGAGGGGGCTGGCGCTCAGAGCTTCTCCTGGCCGCCCTGCGGCTGAGTCCAAGATCGGCTGCCTGAGCTGGTCCGGTTTAAACCGGGGTCAGCCGAGGCCGGCCACCTGAGCGCTGAGCCCGTGACGCTGGCACCCCAGGAGTGACCCTCCGGACGCTCTACCTCATCCTCGACCTGCCTCAACTTCACCGGCAGAAATGCTGAGTCTCTTCCTGCCACCTGAGAAACGACCGAGGGGTCCGTGGCCAGACCCGGTGCCTCCTGAGCACTTGTGCCACGTTTGCGTTGGCTCTTTCGGGCTGTTTCTGTGGCCGTCCGCACGCCCAGCAGCGTTGAGAGGCCTGCGGTGCCCAGGCCTCCCCCAAGGCCTCTCTGCTCTGCCAGGGACGGGGCAGGTCTGTGGCGGCACAGCCCCCGCGGAGGCCCGGCTGGGGCGACGACGGTGTGCCTGGCGCCGTCTGCATTCCCCTTCGGCACCTCTGATGGGGGGTCCTCACAGGGGCTCCACAGAGCCGGTGTTGCGTTTCCCTCTGCTTCGGAGCCCCGGGAGTTGGAATGTCTCACGTCTTGCTTGCTTGAAAATTGAAAACGTGGCCAAAGAGATGGCACAGGGCTTAAGGCACTGGCGTTGCGGGCAGCCAGCCCTGGTTCGATCCCTCACCGCGTGTGGTTACCTGAGCACCACTCGGGTGATCCCTAAGTCCCGGAAGTAAGGGTGAGCAGCACGGGCTGTGGCCCAGGTTCAAAGATGAACCGGAAGCCTTCACTGCCCATCAGTCAGATCATTCTCCTCATGTGTCAGTACGCTTTGGGCTTACAACCCCGTTCCACAAACCTAGGGGCACCCTCACAGTGCTCGGGGCGCTCCTGGCTCTGTGCTTCGGGGGAACTCCCAGCAGTGCTTGGTGGGCCGTGCGTTGTGGGGCTCAGCCCCGGCCTGTGCAGAGCAGGCGCCCGTCCATCAAGCTGTCTCTGGCCCTGATGACAGCCTGTAGAGCAGGAGAGCCGGGACACAGCCAGGCACTTCCTGCACGTAGCCAGCCCAGGCTCCTCCCCGTCTCTGCATTTGGCCGGTCCCCTGAGCACTGCTGGGTGGGATCCCCAAACAAAAAATTTTGGTTTTGATATATCGGTTTTGTTATTTCAGATCAATACTTGATATTTGGTGCTGAAGAAGGGATTTATACCTTGAATCTTAATGAACTTCACGAAACATCAATGGAACAGGTATTTTATTTTCTGTTTTCTCTAATTATTTCCAGTTTTCACTCACTGAACAGAAGGTAAGAAAGGAGTTTCGTTTCTGCGATTCACTGCCTCCTTCATTCACGTATCTCTTTGGAACATCTTCTCCGACGGTTCTGCGAGCAGGCTTACGGAGCTAATTCCTGATCTTCCTTGCCCCCTCTAATGGTTTTTGGCCACCTCCAGCGGTGCTCAGGCTTCCTCCAGAGTGGTAGTTGGGTGACACGCAGGGGTCAGGTCCGGCCAGCCACAAGCAAGACAAGCGCCGTGTCCACTGTGCTGTCTCCAGCCGGACTGACCCTTAAGGAAACCGCCTTCTGACCCGTCCCCATTGCCCTAGGAGTGAAACGTGGGCCACAGGCAAAGATGGGTCTGGAGTCCCGGGCGGATGGAGGGTGCCTGCCGGCAGGTGGACAGGGTCGTGGAGCTAGGAGTGTCAAGTCAGGGCCGAGTGTCTTACTGCCCAGTGCGTGCGGGCGAGGACCTGAGAAACCTACAGGACCAGGTGCTGGAGAGGGACGATTCCGCGGGCACTGGGCCAGCACCCCGGGAAGCAGCCCCGGCTTCAGGACGGGAACAAATGTCCAGGGGCTGTGCGGGGCAGGAAGGAAAGGCCCAGAGTGTGCGCCGAGAGGGACTGACCGTCCACTCCAACGGACCGGGCAAGGGCGGCATAGGGGCCTACAGGAGGCCTGGACCTCGGCAGCCCGGGTGGGTCCTATCACCGGGAGCTACTCTGGGCAGTGGACACAGCAGTAATGGCCACCCCAGGTCCCCTCCTGACCCGACGTGGAGCCGGTGGGTTCAGAGGGGTTGTTCCCCGGATGTTGGGAGCTGGCACGGGCCTGCCTGCCCGCCCGCCCAGGACCACTCGGTCAGACCCTGGACCTGCTCAGACACAGGCTGGGACCGCAAGGTCTCCCCCGGGTCGGCAGAGCTGCTCGGTGACTGCCGACTGCCCGGTGCCAGCCAGCACGGATTCTCTGACACCAGGGCCTCGGGGTCACTGTGGCACGGCCCCCCTGACTCTGGGTGCTGTTGCGCTGAGCTCCACATTCCCATGGCCTTGGGTCCATCAGCCCCTCAGAGCCGTCCACAGTGGCTGTCCCACGGGCTCGGGCCAGCCCAGCTCTGCCCAGCCCTCGCGTGGCCTCCAACAAAAAAGAGAAACGGAAGGGTTCCCCCCACCGCCCCCCACACTCAGGAGGGTCCCTGCGAGCTGCCTGAACTCCTGGGGAGCCCCCAAGCAACATCCTCCGCGAAGTTTTCAGTGGAAAAAAGAAAAAGTACTTGGATCCGTTTCGCCCTGGTGCAGAATGGAGCAAACATCCCAGTATTCCTCTCTCTCATTCTTCTACAGCAAAACAATTTGAGAGAAACCAGAAAGGCTTAGAGTTTACGAGATGTAGTGAAATTTAGTACTTGAAAAAACCCTTATCAGAACTTTTTTTTTTTATGACATCTTATTATCTCATTCCTACTTTGGACAAACTTGCAGGCTATCGAATGTAGCCTGCCCACAGGGCAGAGTCTGGCAAACTCCCTGTGGCGTACCAAATATGCCAAATACCAGTAACAATGATGGGTCTCATTCTCCTAAAGAGCCTTGAATATAATCTCAGGGCTAGGATGAAAGAGACGTTACTGGGGCCTGCTCGAGGCAATCGACGAATAACAGGATGATGAAATGAAAAAAAATGAAATGAAAAAACCCTTGATGCCTTTACATTGTTCCTATACTGATGTTAGAGAATTTGTCTTGACCTTGTGTTTGTTTATGCTTATATTCCATTTACAAATATTTCCAAGTTTGACTTAAAATATAAGGAAAATTCTTACATTTACTTGCACTTAGAAAATACGTGTGACTCCGGTAAGCCGTGGGTCTGGTCCTGGACAAGCACCTTCTCGTTGCGTCTGTGTGGGAGGAAACCCAGCTCAGCACTCAGTCAGATCAGCTTCCCTGAACCCAGTAAAAAGAGAGAAGGTCCTGGGCGTCGCCCCGCCTCTGCCTGACTTCCAGTGTAGCCCGCGAGCTCCCGGTGTGAAGAGCGTGAAGGAGCGGTTGGGGTTTTGGTTTGTGTGTTTGTTACTAGGGGTTTAGGGCCTTTTCCCAGCTGTGCTCAGGGCCCAAGTCCCGACCCCAGAGCGAGGGGCAGCCCTCCCGCCTCCCGGCGCAGTTGTTTGTGGCCTCCCGGGAGCCCCGGCCCTGGGCCCACTTGCTGGATTCAGCAGCCGCCACAGCCCTGCAGCTTTGCTTGGGGGCTGTTTCTGTGAGTGCGCCTGAGAAGTTGTGAAACGGTCTTCAGAGATTCGAGGATCCTGGGCTGTCGGGCGCGGCCGTGGGGTCCCGACGGGTCTGTCCCTTGCGGCTCCTCTCCCTCCCTCCGTCCCAGCCTCCCTACATCTGATGATGTAGTTTTTATCAGAATGTCTCTTGGGCTTTTTTCTGCTGCTTCTCTGCAGAAACTAAGTGTGTCCATACGCCTCAGCAGGCAGACTCGGGGAGAAGCATACAAGGATTTCGTATCAAAACCAAAATAAAAGATTGTTCGAAAGGGCCTTTTTTTCCCCTGTCATAGTTTGGGATTATGTCACCCTTACCAAAGAGTCATTGAGTGTGACACTGAGACTTGGATAATAAGTTACCAAGGTTAATGAAGGCTAATTCTTTTTACTCCTGTAAGAGTATATTGAATGGGGGCTGGAGCGATAGCACAGCAGGGAGGGCGTTTGTCTTGCACGTGGCCACTCGGGTTCGATTCCCAGCATCCCATATGGTCCCCCGAGCACCGCCACGAGTAACTCCTGAGTGCAGAGCCAGGAGGAACCCCTGGGCATCGCCGGGTGTGACCCAAAAAGAAAAAAAAGGTATATTGAGTGATCATTAAAATATTTCAGAATTGTCTGTTGATTAATCTGTCACATAGTAAACGTGTGTGTGTGTGTGTGAGAGAGAGAGAGAGAGAGAGAGCGCTGTTATTCGTCTTCTTTTGTAAACTGGTTTTTCTTTTCAGCTCTTCCCCCGGCGGTGTACGTGGTTGTATGTGATGAACAACTGCTTACTATCGATATCTGGTGAGTCTTGTGGGTTTTTGTCGTTGTTGTCGTGTTTTGTTATGTAGGAGCACTGCTGTTTATTCAGCCACTAGTTGGGCCGATTGAGTTGGGCATGAACTCCACGAGCCAGTTTTTCGCGCCTTAGTTTTTCCTCCTCCTGTTCCTTGTTTCTCGGCAATGTTTCTCTTTCCCCGCAGGTAAAGCCTCTCAGCTCTACTCCCATAATCTTCCTGGGCTCTTCGAGTATGCACGACAAATGCAAAAGCTGCCAGTCGCAATCCCAGCCCACAAACTCCCCGACAAAATACTGCCACGGTAATTGCACATTTAATTATGTGTTCGTCCTGAGAGAGAACTTGCTAATGATCTGCTCTAAGAAGTGGTTGTGCTGCAGGACTCAAAAGCACTCTTTGGGGGTTAATAGAAATCGTGCATAATGAGAAATTTTTAGGAAGGAATATATTTTCATGAGTTCTTATTTGTCGCATTCTTTTAAGATGTTCCAATATCTAGTTTCATCAGACATTTTCTTCCACATTTTGTAAAATATCTTTTCCTGTACGCCTAAAGCCGATTCCTTTCTGTAATTTTCTGATAAACATATTTCACATGTAGTACTTTTGACATTTTTTTAAAATTTGTTTTCTCAAGTTACAGTTTATCAACTTAAGAACCCAGACTTTCTTGTTAAGATTTTTCCACTAGGGGGGCTGGAGCGATAGCACAGCAGTTAGGGAGTTTGCCTTGCATGCGGCCGATTCGGGTTCAATTCCCAGCATCCGATAGGGTCCCCAGAGCACTGGCAGGAGTAATTCCTGAGTGCAGAGCCAGGAGGAGCCCCTGTGCATCGCTGGGCGTGACCCAAAAAGGAGGAAAAAGAAAAAGAATTTTCCTCTAGGAAATAAGTTAGAAATGAGAGCTGTTTGGTGCTGCTGCGTCTTGCGCCTGCTTGACGGGCTGTTTGCCCCTTGCTCGCGGACGAGCTCTCTGAGCCTGGTATCCACTCGGGGGACTTTCCTCCCTCAGACCCCGAGGGGTGGTGACTGAGATGCCCCAGAATCTGCCCTTCTCGGGTGTTCGTTGACAGCCAGCCCAGAGATCCTCGTGGGCGCGCTTGTCCGCGTTGTCGGATGAGGATGCGCTTCGGAGTGTGCTGCAGCGTTTTCCGTCTTCGTTATTTGCGCTGGATGGAGTTGGGTCCTCGCACGGTGCCTGGGAATCGCCGTTGCTGTTTCGGCTGGAGTTGGGGTTGGGGCTTGCCCGTGCAGCTCTGGCGCCCGCGGCCTTCTCTCCTCCCTGCGGCCCTGTGCCGTCTTTCTCTCGTTCGGAGATGGCTTCCGTCCAGCTTTCTGCCTGAGACTCACCCCGCGGAGACCATGCCCAGGCGTCAGCTCCGGGGCTGGAGGTGTGCTTGGTGTCTCCGTGTCGGGTGGGGCCTGCGTTTGCCCCTGGTTGTCCTGTTCAGTTCTTCCCAGCTCGGCTGAGCACTCTGTGGGACGCAGTGTCTGTAGGTGGGACGGGTCGAGCAGACGCTGTCTCTCCCTTTCGGAGCGCTAGAGAGAAAGGCCTCGGAAGGTTTGGGCCTCACGCTTTTTTGCAGGGCCTGTGTTGAGTTCATCTTAAGTGCCAGCAGCACCCACCAGCGCAGCCAGCCCACTTTCTTCCTCCTCGTTATCTAGATTCAGTGATTGGAAAATCTGATTTTTGTTTTGCTCAGGAGGCATACCTGGCTGTACTCAGGGCTGACTCCTGTCTCCATGGCGCTGGGGATCAGAGCCAGCCCAGCCCCGGGCAAGATAAGCACCTGACACACTCACTATCTCTCTGGCCCTGGGAAGTCTGTTCTTAATTCTCACTTGTTTGTGGGAAACCTGAAACCGGTTTCTTAGGTGGCAGCACCACTTCTTCTGCACATAGAGACCACAGATCACACTTCCGAGGTATCATGAGTGCTTCGTGGGCCTCGTTGCAAAGGCAGTGGCGCTGGCTCTCTTTTCAGAAAAGGCTTTGGGATCCGGGCAGATTGAACTTTGATCTGCGTCTCTGCCTTTGCGGTCTGGGGCCAGGATGAGTCACGTGACCTCTCCCCGGCAGTGTAGACATCTGCAGTCTGGCTTTCAGATTTTTCAAACTAAGAATAAAGAGCACTGCGGTTTCAGCCAGTGTTTGCTCCAGATTCTGGGAATTTTTGTTTCCATCTCCAGGAATGTGATCAGCATGTGAGCGACCTGGGCTCGATCCCCAGTGCCGTATGAACAAAGAGTGTTTTGAATTGTGTGACAGACATGAGAGCAACAGTCTTATGATCACTGACCTGTTCAGTGAAATCTGAGGGTTTTCCTGCTCTGAAATTGGTCAAAGGGAACAGACTCCTTTACCCAGAGGCCGAGACTCGGGATGCCCGGGGCTCCCGGTCTCCTGCACATGCCCTGCTGGCGTCACCTCAGGGTTGGCATCAGCCCGAAAATGTCTTAGCACACAGACAAGCCCTTGCTTGAGGAACTATTTCCAACCGCTCTCGTGCAAGCCCAGAACGCTGTTAATGGCTTCTGGAAAGCTTCCACGAGGCAGCCGGGCTGTCTCACTGAACACTGCAAACAGACTCATAAGTTACTGGCTAAATTGCTAATGATGAGGAAGTTTCTGATTCTGAGCCTGGTATTGGTCGAGAGGCTCAAGGTCACAGACTTGTGCCACGCGTGACTTAGAGTAAGAACTGAGCGCCGCGTGTTAGAATCCATGACTGCAGATAGCGCCTTGGGAAACGGGCGCGGGCTCCTGCAGGCTGTCCTACTGTGCACACGGTGGCAGGCCCGTCCCGCAGTGCTCCGGGCCGGCGCCCCAGCAGAGCTGGCCCAGCTCCCAACCCGCTGCCTCGTAGGGCTCTGTGCTCAGAGCCAGGAGTGAGAGCCCTGAGCACTCCCAGGGTGAAAACGAAAACAAACCAGAGAGCTTTCTGGAAGTTGTTACACAGCCCAGCACCTGTGCAATTTGTATAGCCAGCAAGGCAGGATTCGGATTTTTTATTTAAAAAAAAAAAAAAAGACTGGTGCAGAAGGACTAGAGAGGACTAGACAGCACAGCAGGAAGGGCGCTGGCCTTGCACTCGCCAACCCGGATTCAATCCCCCGACACACATGGTCCCCCGAGCCTGCAGGAGTGACCCCTGAGCACCAAGGGGTGTGCCCTCTCCCCCTCACAATAGGCTTTCACCTGGAGGGCAGCGGCCCTGGCGTGGGCTTGTGGGACAGTGTATGCCAAGACCACGCTGCAGACACCTTTGTAGATCTCAGGACCTAAAAGAAGAAATATAGATATATAAAAAGAAAAGGCCAACACACCGCAACAGCATGCGAGAAATGCACTCAGGGCTAGGGCGACACTACGGCTCACTGGACATTTGCCTTCCGGGACATAGAAGAACTCCGGGAAAGATTCCTTGCCTAGTCTTGTCATCCCCCAAATGCATGAAGACCTCATCCCTCTGAAATGCGGCTCCTGAGCTGGGGCGTCAGAGCCAGAGTGACAGTGAGCGGGCAGGGGGTTTGGGGCCAGCCCGGTTTGATCCCTGGTGCCCCACGTGGTCCGTGAGACCGCTGGGCATCAGCCCTGAGCACAGAGCCTGGAGTCAGCCCTGAGCACAGAGCCAGGAGTCAGCCCCGAGCACAGAGCTGGGAGTCCGCCCTGAGCACAGAGCCGGGAGTCCGCCCTGAGCACCACCAGTTGTGGCAAAAAGTAAATAAAATGAACAATTTATCTATTACCTTTTGTGTAGTCCAGGCGTCTCTTGTTTGAAACAAACCCCTCTCCTGCCCTGTATTCCTAGGGACGGGCCCCAGCCGCTGGTGCTCCTTCCCACTGGCTCTTGGGACCAGAGCGGCCCTGGGTGGAGCTTCTGCTGAACCCAAGTCCCTTTCTCTTCGGCTCCTTTTCTTGGTCATTTTCCTCCACCTGTTGCCGGCATCTGCCTCGACCCTTAGAGCGCTTAATACGCTCGAATCGAACACTCATCCTCTCGGCAAGAACCTGCCCTCGGCTTGTCTGTCGGTGAAGATGCCGGCAGCGTGCTGGCTGACACTGCAGACCCCCAGTTCTGCCCTGGGAACTTCTGTGGGGCTTCCTCTTGGGACCGTCCGTTCCCTCTGTCTGTCTCCCGTGTCGCCTTCCCTGTATCCGCATGCACGTGGCCAGAGGAGCGACTGTGTTTCCTGAATCCTGAAGGTCTCGAGGACAGACAGTGCGCACCCCCCCGCACTCCCTTAGTCTCGATCATTTTTGCTGTTTACTGGCAGATGGTGGCGTGGGCCGAAAGGGACATTTGTACAGTTTAAAGCCACTTACATATCTGTGTAGAAAAGGAAAAATTTATTTTGAGGTTTATACGACCTTTACTTGTATTCTGGGTTGTAATATTATAAAAGATGCCTGGATGTATCTTCTTTTTTTATGTCTTTTCCAAGGTCATATCTTTGTACAATCCAAATGTTTTATAGTTTTGGTTTTTCATATTTGAATCCTGCATTCTTTTGGAATCGTTGGGGAGGGTGATGGAGAAGAATCCGGTTTATTCTCGGTTCTAATAGGAAGTCTGACAGATGTGCGCCGGTTTTTGAACTTCTCGTTTTTTCTCCACCTAACTGTGACTGTCCCTTCACCAGACTGACGTGGCTGACGGGTATTTTCTTTTCACTTGCACTCAGGAAATTTTCCGTGTCTGCAAAGATCCCCGAGACCAAGTGGTGCCAGAAGTGCTGTGTCGGTAAGTGGGCGGCAGGTCCCACGCCCTCCTGCTGCGGAGCCGGGAGGGACGGCGCTCGGGGCGCTCGGCCCAAGGGGGTGTCGCCCACCCCTCCCGTTCCCCGGGGCTCCGTGAAACGCCCCCAGGAGAGCATTTGCCTCTCCAGGGTGCCTTGCAGGCGGCCTGTATTCCCTCGGAACAGGCCTCAGGCTTCTCTGGGAGCTGAGAGTCTGTTCCTGCGCCGCTGCCGGCCCCAGCTCCTGCCCCACTCCAGAGCGGCCTCAGGCTTCCTCAAACGTAGCAGACGCAGACGCGGGTGCCGGGTGCCTTGAGGTTCTCCTGCGCGTGAGCTCGAGCCGCGTGGCAATTAGAACCGAAGCATCCCCTGGGAGCGTCACCCCAACGCACCTGAGCCTGCACCTGAGCCGGCCCTGCGTGTCTCCTCGGCCCGCGGCGAGACAGGAAGGGGCGGCTCTGGGGCGGCCCAGAGGCCGTGTCACGGGCTCACGCCGCCTTTGGTGTTGCAGTGAGAAGTCCTTACACGGGCCACAAGTACCTGTGCGGGGCCCTGCAGACGAGCATCGTCCTCCTGGAGTGGGTGGAGCCCATGCAGAAGTTCATGCTGATCAAGGTGAGCCGTGAAGCCCCAGGCAGGTCCGTGACACCCCCCACCCCAGCCCACCCCCAGCGCAGGAGTCGGCCTTTCCCTTCGGAAACGTTGTTTTTGCTCTGAAGTGCATGTAATGATTTGGGATTGTCCGGGTGGTGAGCGCAGAGCTGGAGTAAGGCCTGGTCACTGCTGAGCGTGACCAAATACATAGAATAGACACGTGTACGTGGGGGCCCGAGAGCTAGGAAAGGGTTAAGACGCTTGCCCCCCGGGAGGCCTCGCCCAGGTAAGTGATCCCTGGGCACCACTGGGCGTGGCCCCCAAACTGGAAGCTGCAGATAAGTCCAGGCGCGTTTTGTCCCCAGCACGCCCCTGGCATGTGGGACGGGGCCCTCTCTGGAGCTCTGAAGTGGGGGCTCCCCGTGTCGTGCGCCCTCACTCCCCTCGTCTCGGTCACTCGTGCGCGTGGGGAGGCTCCCATCACAGTGGTGCTAGAAGCATGTTTGAGGCCATACAAAGCTCGCGTTGGTCATGATTGTCATTCGCCGAGTGAAATCACTTAAGATAGAGGGCTGAATTTTCTCTGTGGACTTTTTCCTTGTCCACTCATGCAAGAGTGTCTCTTGCGAATCAGCATTTCGGACCTTCCGTTACATGGCGCAGCGGGTGAGGGCCGGGGAGAGGAGCAGCGGGCAGGTGCTGGCTTTGTAGACAGTTGCCCGGGTTCGACCCCCCCCTTCCGTCTGGAGCTTTTGAGTGTTTCTGTGAGAGAGAGACCGTCACCGCACTCGCGGCAGGATTGTCCTGCTTCCCCGAGTGACGCGCTCTGTCTCCGCAGCACATAGATTTCCCCATCCCGTGCCCACTGCGGATGTTCGAGATGCTGGTCGTCCCGGAGCACGAGTTCCCACTGGTCTGTGTTGGTGTCGGGAAAGGGCGAGACTTCAACCAGGTGGTGCAGTTCGAGACCGTCAACCCCAACTCGACCTCCTCGTGGTTCACAGAGTCAGGTTGGTGGTTCCACGGCGTCACGGGTGAATAAGGAGTCCGTTTACCGCCCCCCCTCCCTCTCTCTTTCTCCCTCGCTCTCTCCCTCTCGCTCTCTCCCCCTCTCTTTTTCTCTCTTTCCCTCCCTCTCTCTCCCCCTCCCAATATCTGGCTGTGGTCAGAGATCACTCCTGGTGGGCTCGGGGGGATATTCAGGGTGCCGAGGTGCTGAAGATTGAACCCAGATTGGCTGTGTGTGATATCCCTGCTCGCTGCAGTAGCTCCTCAGCTTTAATCAACCCTTTTTTTTTAACTTAGTTTTTTGCTTGTTCTTGGGCCACACCTGACAATGCTCAGGGCTTACTCCTGGCTCTGCACTCAGGGATCACTCCTGACAGGCAGACACGACCATCCGGGGTGCCGGGGATCAAAGCCCGGTCGGTCACATGCAAGACAAACACCCCAGCGGCTGTGCAGTTGGCCTGGCTCCTACATTTTTTAACCAACGCACAAAAAATTCCAGTCCTCAGTGAGAATGCAGCCCGCTTTGAAGTAGTTAATTTCCTCAGCTTGTTCAGAGCAGTTTGATGAATCGGTTTCGCGTGTATATTGAGAGCACATGCGTGTGTCCATGTGAAGTCCGGGTGTGTGACATGATGCTGGATCGTTACACACGGGTGCTGTGAAGTGAGGAGCCGGGACCTGGCGTCAGGGCTCACAGTCCCCGCCCGTAGCTGACGCGTGGCCAAGAGCTGCAGCCTCGTGGCCTTTGGGGTCACGGCAGGGCCGTCTGGAGGCTCCGCCCGGCGCCAGCCCTGTCCCGCCGCACCCGACTCTCTTCCCCTTCCCTTTCTCTGTGGCAGGCCCAGGGGCAGCCGCCGTCCACCTCCCAGGGCCTGTGCGGCATCTGAGTCTCCTAGACGGGAGTGACGCCGGCCCCGCCTGGCCCGCCCCGCCCCGCCCCGGCTTAGTTTCAGGCCGGCAGGTTCTCCCCTTGTCACAGATGGCAGGATTCCCTTTCTTTGTATGCCCGTGGTGGGTGGTTGGGGGTGTGTGTCCGTCCGTCTCCTGGTGTGTGTGTTAGTCCAGGGGAGCGGGGGGTGTATGCCTGTGAGTCCGGGTGGTGTGTGGGGGGGGTGTACCTATGTACACCCCTTGTTTCTGATCCTCTCTTTCATCTCTGCCCCTGAAGCAGTTAGCGTGTCTTGGGTAACTGTGAATAACGTGGGGTGCGGATGTGAAGTTGATTGATTCGGGGCAGGGGCTGTGAACCTCAGAGCCACCCCGGGCCCTGCCTGGCCCTTCGTTTCAGTAACAGCCATTTCTGTGGAGGAAGGCTGGTACCTGACTCTGTTTCCTAGAGACTGGTGGTGCCGGGCGTCTTCCGTGGTCCTCCGGGGGATCAGGAGGCTTCTGAGGGCTGTGTCGGTCCCCCCGGGCCTGTTCAGGTTTCTGCGTCCTCGTGGTCCCGGTCTGGTAGGCCAGGAGTGGGAGGGATTCCGTGCAAACGTTCTTCCACGGAGTCAGCCGTGTCGGTCTAAGCATCCGTGACCATCGCTGTGGGCTTAGTGTTTCCCCCCTTCTGTAATTTTGTCGGCTCGGCCATGCCCGTCGGTTTATCTTTCAAGATCCCACCTCTTGGCGTCTTCCTTTCGGCTGTTACAGTCTGTCAGGCACCTTCTTCTGCCCAGATCTTTTCCCTCCTTCCTTCAGATTTGGGGATATGTTTTCCCCCCGATTTCTTGAGGTGTAATGTCAGGTTTGTTTTGTTGCTTTTGGTTTGGGGCCACAGAGGTTCGAGGACCCTGTGGGATGCCGGGGACCAAACCCACGCTGGTGACGTGAAGGCAGGAGTCCTCCCTGCTGTTCTCTGGCCCTGGCCCCTTGGGCCACTTACTTCGCGGCGTCTTTTCTTGGCGTGTTTCCGCGACTGTGGGTTTCCTCGTCGTGCTGCCGTACCGCGTTCCGTTGGTGCCGAGATGCTGCTTCCTTTTTTATCTTCCCTTGACTCGCTGGTTGTCGGGTGTGTTGTCTAATGCCCCGTGCCTTTACTTTTTGTCTCTCCGTATATTGATTTCTGGTTTCACACCACTGTGGGCAGCAGAGCTAGCGATAGAATTTCTGTCTTCACGAGCCCGGGAGAGTTGTTCTACGGGCTCTTGGGCGTCATCTTCCCCGGAAGAACGCTGGCCACATAAAGAAGTTCCACATTCTGCTCTTGGCGGAAGGTTCCGTCGGCTCCTCTCAGGTGTGGCTCAGGCTGCTGGCGTGGACCTCAGACTTCCTGTGACGTGCCTCTGCTGAGCCGGGGGGTCCCGACCCCACGTTTCTGCGTTGACTGCCTGGGCTCTTTTTAGTACTTGCTCTGCCCGTCCACACGCTGCGGAGCAGTGCTGAGCTGTTCGCGGTCAGTGCATCATCTTCCTGGTGATCGAGCCTTGTCGCCGTGTGTCACCTGCCGGCCCTGCTGGACCTTTCGGACCGTGTCAGCGTCCCATCTGTCCTATCAGCTGTGGGCATTCCTTGCCCTGCTCTTCTGTCCTCACTGTCCCGTTACTGCCCATCTCCGTGAGGACGTGTGTGCCCGTGGGCGTGTTCCCGTCCACTCACTCTTCCTGTATCGGACCCGCTCTCGGTCGCAGCACCCGCTGCCACCCTCTCCTGTCTGCACCCTCAGCTCCTTGTGGCCTCACTGGGCTTTGACTCCATCCCCAAACCTCTGTGGTCCCCGGAGGCCAGGATGCTCCGCGCCTGCCTCGCCGAGTGGGGAGCCGCCTGGCGTCCCGCCGCAGGTCCCGGGAGTTCGCGTCCCTCTCCGTCGGCCTCTGCGGGACCCTCTCCACGTTCTCTGTACGGGACGCGCCAGTTTTGTCCTGTGTGTTTATCCGCTTCCTTTTGCCTTGCAGACACCCCGCAGACCAACGTTAGTCACATCACCCAGCTGGAGAGAGACACCGTCCTCGTCTGCCTGGACTGTAAGTCTCGGGGTCGGCACTACCCGGCGTGGCTTCGTCTGTCTTCTTTTCTGAGTGACTTTTCATCCCCACTCCAGGTTGCATAAAAATAGTGAATCTCCAAGGAAGATTAAAGTCCAGCAGGAAATTGTCATCAGAACTTACCTTTGATTTCCAGATCGAATCCATTGGTAAGTCAGCGTTCCGTGTTCCATGTTCCGTCACATCTGTGAACTTTGTAAATAGCGTATCTGGTACCTACCTGAATCAGTCTTTACCTCTGTGCATTCTCTAAAGAAGTCGAAAGGCAAAGGTAAAGGCCCTCCCGTTGATCGTCGATTTGCTCGAGCGGGCCCAGTAACGTCTCCATTGGAGACTTTGTTGTTACTGTGTCTGGCATATCGAATACTCTCGGTAGCTTGCCGGGCACTCCGAGAGGGGCAGAGGAATCGAACTCGGGTTGGCCATGTTGGCCGCTTGTAAGGCGAACGCCCTACCCACTGTGCTATCGCTTCGGCAGCACATATGCTAAAGAAGTCTAAGTAATTTAAAATTAATTTGAATTGATTAATGTTTCAGACCATGGTTCTAGCCTTCAGACGCGTCGTTTTCCTCTAAATGCTTTAAAGTGTGGTGCTTAATGTAGATTCACTGTTTGGAGAAATCTAAATATCTGAACTTTCTGGAAAAAGTAAAAGTATTACACTCGGGAGAAAATTAGATGACAGCGATCACATGCGATAGTACTGGGGAAGTGAGTGACAGCCCATCTGGTGTCCAGCTTTCTACCGTCTTTCCTGTGCCATTTTCCAGTGACACTAAGACCCTGTTAGCAGCAGCTAGGACAGAGCCGGTGGTCCCTGTGTCTGTACCTGGTGGTCTTACTTTCCTCCAGCTCCAGCACAGGGTGCTGCTAGTCCCGTGTTGAGGGAGTTCTGGTCGCGTCGCGCTGTGAGCACTGCTCTAAGGAGCATCACCAGCTGTGAAATATGAGGATAAGGGGTCCGAGAGTACGGCCAGGAAGGTGCTTCCCTTGCCCGCAGCCATCCAAGTCCATTTCCCATTTCCTGGCACTGCGCGTGGGCCTGAGCTCCACAGGAGCGAGCCCCGAGCACCGCTGCGTGGCGGGGGCAGGGGGTGGTAAGGAGGGACAGAAGCTCCGCAGGGCACGGAGGCTGGGAGCCCGGGCTACACCAGAGCCTCCGGTGCTGACGTGTCGTTCATCTGCTTTGGCTTGATTCATCTGCGGGCTGTTCCCAAAGCTGCTGGAGGGCCTGGGGGAACATTCTTGCTCCACCTTAAAAGATTGTGGACAGGGGGCTGGAGAGAGCACAGTGGGTAGGGCGTTTGCCTTGCACGCGGCCGACCCGGGTTCGATTCCCAGCATCCCATGTGGTCCCCTGAGCACCGCCAGGGGTCATTCCTGAGTGCAGAGTCAGAGCCAGGAGGAACCCCTGTGCATCGCCGGGTGTGACCCAAAAAGCAAAAAGAAAAAAGATTGTGGACAAAGAAGGAATCCAGACAAATCCCGGAATCCAAGAGAGCAGGACAGAAAAAAAATCACACAGTCTTGGAAACTCTTCGGAACGCTATACTAGGAAGGCCAGCGGAAGTGGGCCTCTCCAGAAAGCCCTCCGGCCAGAGCGTCCATCTCTGCAGCATATTGACGACAGAAAGCGAAGGGTCCGCGGCCTCCGGACGCGCACAGAAGCAGCGGAAAGCTGTCGCTGTGCTGCGTTGTCATAACAGGCCAAGCGCAGGAGCTGCCCGTCTCCTGGGGGGGCGGGAGCCGCGGGCTGACGGGGCAGCGGGTGGCAGTGGGAGGCGACAGACTCTAAGGGCGGGCGGCCGGGCCGGGAAGGGCCTTTGTACCCGCCACGAGCAGGGGGCCGCCCTCGAGGGAAGTGGAGGGTGCTGTCACCCTGTGGGGGAATCATTAGAAAAACGGGGGAGGCTGGGGCGCCGCTCAGAGCCGCGCCTGCCCGGCCAGCTGTGAGTCCCACTGAGGAGGGGACGGCCTGGCGGGTCGGCGCAGGCCGGAAGCCAGCACAGTGTCAGGGTCTCAGAGTTGGGGGCGTCCGTGTGTGCTTTGTGCTGCCGTTTCTGAAGTCGTCGGCAAGGGCTTGACGCTGACCTGGCCTTCTCGGTCTCCGGGGTGGAGGCACCGTGCAGGCGGGCAGGGGTGCGGCTCAGGGCTGGGCGGGGGCCTTGCAGTGACGGCTCTTCTCGCCCACAGTCTGCCTGCAGGACAGCGTGTTGGCCTTCTGGAAGCACGGCATGCAGGGCCGAAGCTTCCGGTCCAATGAGGTATGTCGGCTCTCCAAGGCTGTGGCCGTGGACTGGCTCCGAGCTTCCTCGGGTTCTCCCTCGTTCTTCCTGCTGGCTCTGCCCCCCCCCCGCCCCCCCCCCCAGCTGGCACGGCCCCTCCCAGCGTCACTGACTCACCTGCCCTCTCCACCCGCACGCCCCGGAGCAGCGGTGCCAGGGCGCTCCCTGCTGGCTCTGTCTCCTCCCCTGGAGTGGACGCCCGGCCCCAGGGCAGGACCCAGGACAGCGGCTGCCGTGGCTGTCTGCTGGGGCCGCCCTCGCCAGCCAGGACGTGGCCTGCAGGGGAGCCGCTGCCCCGGGGCTCACAGCAGGGCCGGTGCTTTGTCCTTGGGACGCTGCCAGGGGAGTTTATCGCAAGTTTATCATAAGCTGGTGTTTCCAGCCCAGCGAACTGGTAGAGTAAATTGCACTTCCGGTCAGAATTGCTTCTCAGCCAGGAACTGGGCGGGCAGTGTCCACTCCCTCTGTCTTCCATGGCAGCATCAAGGTGCTGTAGACCGACTTCGGCATCAGCGCTGAGAGGACAGGAGATCGTAGTTGCAGGCGGTTGAGGAAGAACTTTCTAGGCGCCTCTTTAGCTGGGCATTGACCCTGCGAGAGAGCCCCCAGGGCGGCTCTTTCCAGCCCTTCCCGCAGACGGCAGCCGTCCCCAGCAGCTCCTCCCTCGCCCAGCGGCCAGGCCGTGAGCGGCAGAGCTGGCCTCCCCGAGTCCCGTCTGCCGTCACGGCGCACTGCAGCCTTTGCGGTGAACAGCGAGGAGACGCCCCTGCCGCACTGCCTGGCGCTGGGAGCGCACGTGCAGCTCTCGGGAAACTGCATCATGTTATGCTTTCCCTAAAGTGTTTCCTTCTGGGGCCAGCGCGATGGTGCGAGGATCATGGCAGTCGCCCTGCAGGAGGCTGACTCCGATTCAGTCCTTGGCACCATATACCCGAGCACTGCCAAAAGGTTCCCCTCCCAACAAAATTTTTTTAAGCTGATGCTTTTTAAAATACGTCTTCTTCCTACTCTGATATTTAATGATAAACTCAAAAAGCGCCACGTTTTTTCCTGACTAACAAACTGATACACTCGTGTGCTAATCCCCCAAATCGACTGTCACACAGAGGTAGATTTTCATCTTGAGGAGGAAGTGTTCTCTCTAGTTAGAAATGATGTGCCCACAGGTAAAATTGTGTGTCTTCAATTTCAAAAATTCAAATTTGTGTTTCATTCACCAGGTAACACAAGAAATTTCAGATAGCACAAGAATTTTCCGGCTCCTTGGGTCTGACAGGTATGGAAAGGGGCTATCCTGTGTTCGAGGCACTGAACCTGTCTTTCAGATCTAGCATGGAACTGATTTTGAAGAGTTAAGAATTAAAATGTTGGGGCTGGAGCAATAGCACAGCGGGGAGGGCGTTTGCCTTGTACGCGGCCAACCCAGGTTCGATTCCCAGCACCCCATAGGGTCCCCCGAGCACCGCCAGGAGTGATTCCTGAGTGCAGAGCCAGGAGGAACCCCTGAGCATCGCTGAATTAAAATGTCTACAAGAATATAATCAGTGTTCTGTTTTTCACATCCTAAGAATCCCATGTGACACAGTAGAAAGACTGAGGAAGACGGTGCTCTCCGCACGTCTCGGGGAGTTTACTACACGAGAGCAAGGAACTGTCTTAGAGAGGAAGTAGGAAATTTCTTATATTTGGTCCACAACAAACTTAGGGTTCTGTTCTGGCATTCTCGGATTCTTCAGTTACAAATTGTTTCAAGAATTTATGACAACTAAGGTTGGGGGCAGGGCAGGTAGGGCACTTGCCTTGCATGGGCGGTCCCGGGTTTGATGCTGGTACCCCACTTAGTGTCCTGAGCCGAGCAGGAGTGATCTGAGTGCAGAGCCAGGGGGAGACCTGAGCAGTCAGCATTCAGGTGTGACCGGACACAAACAAACCAGAATTGGAAGAGAGTTGTTTTTCCTTTTTGGATCACACCCGGCGATGTACAGGGGTTCCTCCTGGCTCTGCACTCAGGAACCACCCCTGGCTGTGCCCAGGGGACCACATGGAATGCCAGGAATCGAACCCGGGTTGGCCGCGTGCAAGGCAAACGCCCTACCCGCTGTACCATCACTCCAGCCCCGGAAGAGCTTTTGATAAGGTTTAAGTTCACATCAACGTAGAGTGTGTGTGTGTGTGTGTGTGTGTGTGTGTGTGTGTGTCTGTCTGTCTGTCTGTCTGTCTGTCTGTCTGTCTGTCTGTCTCAGGAGGTAGTACCGGTACGACAGGAGTGACCAAAAAAAGAAAATTGGAAGTTCCTGATAAGGTTTCAGTCACGCTGATGTTCTCTGTGTGGTGCGTGTGTCACTGACTTCGAGGGAGGAAGGAGGCTTCAAGCAGCAAGCTTCCTTCCCACGGGGCCAGAGAGGCCATCCGGGGGGGAGGGCACGTTCTTCGCATGTAGGCTGACCTGGCAGCCACCTCCCAAGCACTGCCAGAAGTAGTAGCCCCTGACCGTCGCCAGGTGTGGTCCAGAAACCAGACGGAAACCCCACTGTTCCCCGAGCTGGAGTTGCAGGGCTCAGAGCCCTGCGGGTGCCTGGGCGGGGCAGGGCAGCGCAGTGGGGAGGGCTCGCGTTCTCAGAGTCGCGTTTCTCTTTTTGAGTTTCTCCCTTTGTCCCTTCCTTTCAAGGGTTGTGGTTCTGGAGAGCAGGCCAACCGATAACCCCACAGCAAATAGCAACTTGTACATCCTGGCGGGCCACGAGAACAGCTACTGATGTGCGCCCCCCGACAGACACCCGGAGCCCTGGGAGAAAGGGGCCCTGCCCTGCCCTGCCCCGCCCCGGACAGAGCCTTCGAGCCGCCCAGAAGCAGCGCTCCCGCCTCCCGCCTCCCGCCTCCCGGTGGGCCTGGGAGAGACCTGGCGACTTTGGTTTCCCTGGTATGGATCTGTTTAGCGTATTGAACCACACAAGTGCTTAACTCATTGTTATGTAATCTTTGTACATAGAGGCAGTATTTTTCTGTGAAAATTCAGATTGCTGCAGACACACACTAAGAATTTATGTAGATAATGTACTTTTACGAAATGTACAAGTGTCTTTTCTGTACAGATGTAAATGTCGATGAAATGCAATCGGGTCAATATTTAAGAATTCTCACGTACACTCTGGGCTGGGCTGTACCACACGCAGGGTGCTGCGTTGAGGCAGCGCCTTCGACACTATCGGATTTTTATTCTATGTAATTTAGAAATACGAATACGAATCTTGTAACTCAGATTGTTATGGCGGCTGTAATCATTTTATAATCTGGTTTTTAATCTTCACACAAGTACACTGGTGTTTCTATTTGCACAGTATTGGGACTTGATGTAGTAAGTCACAAAAGGAAGCTGTGACCATCTGCAGCTGCCCACAACATCATTTTTCATGGATTCGGAGTGTTTTCTCTGTGAAACAAGCCAGTTGCCCACCTGTGGTAAAACTGGTCTTTTTATCCTTAGGCAGAACCCTGTGAAAGTGCTTGTTTGTGCTTCAGAATAATACCTTTGACAACATTTTAAATCACAGAATAGCGGTACCGTGATGTAACACTACAGTTGTTGTCTGAGTTATAATATGCACAAAGAATAAATCGAAATTAGTGAAGAGTCCACACTGAACATTTCACGCAATCACATTGAAGAGCTGTAACATTCCATAGAGGGAAGCAGTTCCAGTTTTGAGTGGGAGTCTTTACTCTTGTTGGTCTTAGGATCGTTGTCATATTTCTTTTGATTTAGGGTATGAACCTACGGCCAAAACATTTAGTTACTACCTCACATAACAGCATGATGGTCAGACACATCACAGGACTTCGTTTTGGTTTCAGTTGTTCTCGGTTGTTTCTCCCAGTGGACTTCGTATGTGCCAAGTTCTAGGAACAGGCACTTTGGGCTCTGTTATATGCTGATGTGAGTATATGCACACACTAAGAACAACCCACATGGTGATTCCTGGTCTTCGTTTATTTTACTTGATAATGCTTTCAAAATATGCTCCCGGTTGTACATAGTGTAAAATAAACGTTTTTCTAACATACTGTCGTACAGTGGCTTCGTCTGTGTGTCCGAAGACTAAACTCTAGGCAGGAGAAGGGTGTGTCTGTGGCCCAGCGTAGAGCCGCCCAGTGCCCGGTCTTCGTCCCTCAGGGCATCATATTCCTATTCGAGATGTTTCAGGAGAGTGATACTCCCTTGTGTTTGGGTGAAGGACATCTCTTTGTAGCATCTCCTACTTCTCTGTCAGAAAAGCGGGGTCAGCATTAGAGCGAGTCCGGACTGCAATCCAGCCCAGTCCTGCTCAACACCCTTGATTCGAAAAGGAATACCATGCCCCGTATTCATCACACCTGCGGCTGCTTCTGGACTGGGGTTGACAGTCGCCTGTTCTTGTGACCTGGGGTGATTCGTGTGTGTGACTGAGAACGTTTTCCTACCTGGAGGTCAGGACTGCTGAACCCTACAGCTCTCAGTGATCTTGCGTATACTTACCCAGAGTCACTTCTGGGGAACTGCTTTTCTAGCGTTCATATCCTCTGAACTACATCCCTCTAAGGTAGATAAAGGGGGTTGCATGTCTTAAAAAAAATTAACCACATTTAACTGTCAGGCACATAGAAATGTTTGCAGAAGATACACAACTAGTTGTGTTACCCCTTGGAGTGAAGCCTGGAACCAATATCTTCGCAAAGCTGGACAAAATAGTTGTGATGCAGAGCCCGGCGTTTGGACCACCCGCCAACACTGAACCCCACTTGTTGCTTCCGGGTTGCCCCAAGAAACACAGCCCTCGGAATAAAACCTTGGGTGGCAGTTCCGAATGCAAATGATAAAGGATCTTCACTCGAGGAGAGCCACGGAGAGCAGTGTTAGAAGCCGTCCGTTCCCTTCCTGGGCCAAGTCATCTGTCTCATTGGCTCGTTTCTTAGGACACTGGCTTGGAGAACGCACCCGCTGTTTCCGGGCTGATGGACGTCACTCTGTGTGCAGGCGCACTGAGCCCATCGGAGCCAGGAAGTAAAGGGCGGGAGATACAGTTGCTGGCAGTGTCCACCTTATTAGAAGACCAGAGTGTGTGCCGTACAGAGTACCGAGTGGACACTTGGGACTGCTCGAGGCGGAAGAGTGATAGGCGTGCCGCCTGGGACACGCATTCTTGCAGATTCTCTCCTCAGAACTCCAAGAGAAGATCCAGTGCGCTTTGCAGTGGAGGGTCAGTGAACGGAGGAAGGAACCAAAGTACAGGAAGGTTGGCTATCTTGCCCAAGAGCAAGGCTGCTAGGCTGAAGGGCTCGCTCGCTTCCACGAACTCAGCCCGTGTTCAGAGCCCACCCGCAGTGACACTCCCCTCTCCCCAGTAGGGCCAGTTTCACTGACTTTGCAACAGAAGTTCACTTTCTGTTACTTTTTTTTTTTCATTCTCTTTTTGTTGTTGCAGTGATGGGGGGTCACATTTGGTGCGGCTGCTCCCTGGGGTCCCATGCTTCAGCTGCTGGGCACAGGTGGAGCTGGGCTGGGTGGCAGAAAATGGCACAGCGGGTCCAGTTCTGCCCCGCACACGGATGACCTGGTTTCTATTCCAAGCACCACACACGGTTCCCCAGCACCGCCAGGAGTGATCCCTGGGCGCAGAGCAAGGAGTAAGCCTCCAGGTTTGGCCCCCCTGGAGAAAATGACCCAAAGCTGGGGTCAGTGGGCATCGCTGCTGGAGGGCCCGTGGGGCAGGAATGGGCTTCCAGCCACCCACCTTCATCTCAAGAAGTTTTCCTTGTTCAGTTGTGTAAACACACAAAAAACGACGGGCAAAGGGACGGCAGTGGCCTGTCTCTCCCGCCGCCCGCATTCGGTAGTCTCAGGCTGTTTCCCCTCTCCAGGGAGGTCGATGGCGATGGGCAGGCGAAGGAAGGAACCGAGGGTTGCTGGTTGCTATTCGCAGCAGTTTATTAGATGGAAGAAGTGTATGTCATGGAGGCCCAGGATCTCTCAAGCACGTGCTCCTTTGTTCTCTCCGCTTCTGTCCCCATTCTCTCAGGCAGTGTTCCCTCAGAGAGCCCTGGAATGTCCCTTATATAGATCATGGTACCTCTAAAGGGCGCAATACAGTGATGTCATCAAAAGGAGTTACAGAAAGAACATTGAGGCAGCAAAACAGACATTGTTTCTTTACACCCACCAGCCGGTAATCTTGGCCTCACCTTTTACAAGCTACAAGCACTTGGATTTGCAGAACAAAGACCAGTCTGCTAGAGCTTGGAATCTACAACTCCAAGATCAGCCTGCCAGGAGCCAGGCATCTACATCCCCAAGATCAGGCCTGGCTTAGCACCTGGGATCTGCATACCTAAGGCCAGCTAGGTTCCTGTGAGATAAGGGAAACTGCCTCAATATACTGAAATCATTTACTGAAGGCAGTTTGAAGGGGAGAAAGGTTCAGTCTCATCCAAGCTAGTCAGGACACACGGGAAAACTGCTGCTAGGACAGATCAACCCACCGTAGAACAGATTTCCCTGGGTGTGTTTCTCCTCTCCTTGTCCAACCAACATATGAGCATACATAATATAAATCATTTTGTATGGACACAGAAATACTTAAAGCTTATAGAATTGCTCTCCTAGAGCCATTTCTATCTCAGACTACAGTGCTCAGGCCAGATAGTCTTTCCTCTCCCTAGCAGGGCCCCAGTCTCGTCGTTACTTTTGGATCAGGACAGCATTTGTCTATGATCAAACTCCTAACTTATAGTTAAGAATCATGCTGCTTTGGCCTGGCCCATCTCGATGCCAGGGTAGCACATAGCTTACCTGCTTGCCCTGGTTCCATCCAGCCCCTCGTCAGGACCCTGCCCTTGGGGTGCTAGGAAGAGAGGGCAACTGAGGCTTAAGTTGAGAAAGCAGATGCCCAGGAGTGAATGATATTCAAAGCCAATCAACTCCTAAGTTGTAAAGCCTAATATTAATTGTCTTCCTATGTCTATACAAAAAGGACATTGCATTAAACTATTCAAAAGACATAAGGAGAGGAGAAAGGCGATATTAACTTACAAGTTCAGTGTCCTGGAAGGATGAGACCTTACAAATTGGTTGGGGAAGAGAGCACAAAGAAGTAGCTACAGACAAACATAGTAATGGGAATGACTCGGGAGCACTGTGATGGGTGCAACCTGACAAACCTAAGCTCCTTGTACTCCAACATTCAGTGTTTGTACAATTCAAAATATTTGCCAAAAATTAACTGTACAGGGGCTGGAGCAATAGCACAGCGGGTAGGGCATTTGCCTTAAACGCGGCCAACCCGGGTTTGATTCCCAGCATCCCGTATGGTCCCCTGGGCACCGCCAGGGATAATTCCTGAGTTCAGAGCCGGGAGTAACCCCTGTGCATCGCCGAGTGTGACCCCCCCAAAAAAAATTTAACTGTACAGTTAAAGTGTATTTAATAAGTCAAAATTCACGAAAAGGAGTTAATTGTGATAGTTCACCAACATCATTGACCATTTACGGTGTGCAGGCACTGGCAGGCCCTGGGGTAGATAGAAACACACTCCCAAGACACTCCAAGGAGCACATTTGTGTAATAAAAATGAATCTTAGGGGCTGGAGCGATAGCACAGCGCGTAGGGCGTTTGCCTTGCACGCGGCCGACCCCGGTTCGATTCCCAGCATCCCATAGGGTCCCCTGAGCACCGCCAGGGGTGATTCCTGAGTGCAGAGCCAGGAGGAACCCCTGTGCATCGCCAGGTGTGACCCAAAAAGCCAAAAAATAAATCTTAAAAATAATGTACTGAGGCCCTGGGGTTTTCAGAGTCATTACGATCATAGTTGAGTTTCAGGCGCACACTTCCAACCCCTGTCCCGTCACCAGTGTCCCCAGTTCCCCATTCCTAGTTCTGGCTTGGGAAAGCCTCTCTGCAGAAGCGTTCGCAGAGGGTTGCTGGACGATAAGAAGTGGCGCACTGAGCAGGACGAATTGGCGCAGGCGCTATTAATGCACATATTTGCAGCCGTTTTCAAGGAAAAGAAGCCAGGCAGGCAAGAGCGCTGCTGCGCCGTGGGCCCAGGGGCTCGGACCCCGCGTCCGCGACGCTCCCCTCCCTGCGCGAGCTCGCCCGGTGGCCGGCCGAGGGCTGGAGGTCGCCGCTGCGACGTCCCGGGGTCCCGCCCGGTGCTGGCCCGGCTGCACCCGGGCGCGTCTCGGGGGCGGGACCGCGGCGGGGCCCGGGTGGAGCCACGCCCTCCCGGCCACGCCCCCGCTGGCCACGCCCCATTCTGCCAGGTCGCCCCGCCCCATGGGTGCTCCGTGCCCCCGATGCCACGCCCCGCGTAGGCCACGCCCCCCTGTTGCCACGCCCCCGCGGGCCACGCCCCATTCTGCCAGGTCGCCACGCCCCATGGATGCTCCGTGCCCCCGGATGCCACGCCCCGCGTAGGCCACGCCCCTTGTTGCCACGCCCATGTGCGGGCCACGCCCCCGATCCGGCCACGCCCCTCGTGCGCCCCGCCCCGTGGCCGCCGCGCGTCCCGTTGCCCGGGAGACGCGGCGCTTCCGCTCGGGAGTGGGCACCAGGGTCCAGGGGCGGCTGGAACCGAGGCCGCGTCTCCGCAGCGGGTTCGCGCGTAAGTGCGGGGACCGACCCCGGGGCCCTGGAGACGAGGAGGGGGCCCAGGTGGGGTCTCCCCGGGGCGGGGCGCCCCTGGGGGCGGGGGCGCAGGGCGGCAGGACCGGACGGGTGGGCGCCCGCGACGGAGGCCAGGGCGGCGGGACCCCGGGCGCGGGCGCGGGCCGACCCCCTGCCGGACGGGGCGGCCTGGGCCGCGGGGCCGCTGTGGGGGGCGCGCGCGGCCTCCAGCGTGCGCTTCCCTCGCCCCGTCCCGCGTCCCGTGTCCACTCGCCCGAGGCCGTGCGTGAGGCCCTGGTGCCCGGCGGGCCCTGCCGGTCGGTGGGCTCGGGCAGAGGCGCCCTGGGTTGCACCGGCACAGGGACGGGGGCCGCTGTCGGGGCGGAGGGGGCCCTCCCGGCCGCTCTGTCCACCGGCCGCCCTGTGCGGCTCCTCCTGCCCCCCGGGCGCTCCTGCTGGCTGTGCTCCCGGCCTGCTGGTCCCCTGGGGGCCTCCAGCCTGACGCCACTTTCTGCAGTTCCCTAAGGGCCGCTCGTGATGCGCCCTCGCGGCTGCAGCCTCCGCTCCAGTCCCCGGGGCTGCCCCTGCCTCTGAGACCTCACGAGGACCCCAGTGCAGGGTCCGCTCACAGGGGCTGGAACCCTGCCGAAGCTGTGTCCAAACTGTCCCCTCTTCCTTGCCCATAGCTATGCGCCGCTCCATCCTGACATTACCCACCCCCACCACACACACGCGCACACACACGCACACACACACACACAGCTGTCAAAGGGGCCAGATCTGGTGCCAGGGGGCAAAAGACACTTTGCATGTGGGGCCCAGGAGTGAACCCGGAGCCGAGAGCCAGCAGGGGCTGCCCCAAACGCCAGCGAAAAGCAGTCGTGTCTGTGGAGCTGGGAGGGCCTGTGCTGGGCTGGCCAGGGTGGCCCTGCGGGTGCTCTCAGCACAGTGGACAGAGGCTTTCAGGGCCGCCTGGGGTGCTGGGAGGTCTGAGTGGAGGTGCAGGAGAGGGTGCATCTCCACACAGAGCAACCAGAAATGCCAGGGAGGGCGTTTCCTTGCCTGCCGCGGACCCAGGTTCAATCCCCAGCATCCCACCTGGTACCCCGAGCACTGCCAGGAGTGACCCCTGAGCACCACCGGGTGCGACTGCCCCCAAAAAAGTCTCAGGGGACTCAGGTAGCTCAGAGGTCTGGGCCACTGCCTGGCATGGCCCCCAGATCCAACCCTTACCCCACAGACTCACCCGGGAAGGCCCCCCAAAAGAGAAAATATCTGCAGACGTGAGCCAACTCCCTTGGGTCACAGGCTGCCCATGGAGGCCCAGACCCCTCTTCTCAGAGACGCCCACAGACGACGCCATGTCTGCGGCCGTGTTTTCATTTTTCCCTTCCCGTTAGTTTTGCTTGTGCTTTTCTTCCTCAGGAAATGATTACTAAAAGGCTCTTTCAGTTCCAAGTAGAAAGTCTTTGATTTGCCTTATTGGGGTGGGGAGCACACCCAGAGCTGCTCAAGGGTCACTCCTGGCTCTCTGCTGCAGAATCACTCCTAGCGGGAACGGGGGGGACAGGTGAGGGACTGAACCCAGGAGGAGTTTAGTCCCTGGAATATCGCTCGGGCCCCGGTGGAAAGTCTTTTGAGTTGTATTACTTGCGATCCGACGACACTGTTCGGTCTGACGGCTTGTGGTGAGCGTGACCCATGGTAAACGCTTCTCCACACTGAACCCTCCCTAGTGGTCCCATGCACGCTGGCGCCAGAGTCTGTCCCAGGGGACTGTGTGTCTGCGCGGAGGTTGGTTCTCTGGCTGACACCGAGCGAGGCCTCGCCTGCCAGCACCATGCGCGGCTCAACCCCTGCCCGGCACGACCTCCCCAAGCAGAATGTCTGCTTAGTTCCGGCCTGTCCCTGGTTTCTTCCCCAGGGGCCCACGGGGTCCTCCCTGCAGTGCTCAGGGCCTTTCCTGGCTTCGCTGGGGCCTGGACTTGAGCCGGGTTCAGCTGCTCAGGGTGCGGCTGTCACCCCATGCTGTCCCGCCCAGTCCGAGGCCTCACTGTGGCCCTAGGAGCCCTTCAAGCAGCTTCAGTTTACGAACCTCCCGAGATCCACACGGCGACTTTGCATAGCCGAGTCGCCTGTCACTGGGCTAAGCCGTATTTCTCAGCTGGGCCACGTGGCTCCGGGGGCCACAGTGGAAAATCACTAAAATAGGGGCCACGGCAGACATAGGGGCCAATTGGTAGGTCTGGGGGTGAGGGACACAGTGAGGAAACAGGCCAGCAGGGGCCATGGCGGGGAAAGGCAAGAAGCACGAGACAAGGACCGGAGAGTGGCCCCACACCCCTCACACCGGCACGGTCAGCGCCCCCGAGCCCGGCCGAGCGGGGCCCAAGCGTCCCCAACTAGAGCAGTGGGTCAGCTGAGACCAGCTGCCTGGGCCAGTTTCCTGATAAGTGGGGTCAAGGGGTCCCTCTTTCACTGGGGCCAGGGGTCCCTCTCAGTAGGGTCGGGGTCCCTCCCTCACTGGGGCCAGGGGTCCCTCTGCCCACTGAGGTCACCTGCAGGGAGTGGGCACTTCCCCTCGAGGCTTTCCTCAGAGCCGGGCGAGGAGGTCTCCATGCCTTCTGGAACACCTGAGGCAGGACAGGGCAGTGGGCCAAACTGGACACCCACGTCTCCCTGGAGCTTTGACTCCAGCCAACCACGCCCCGGGTCACACGAAAGCAGCGCCGAGGGCAGAGACCGTTTGCGGGGCAGGCGCTTGACCTGGGTCCACCCCCCGCACCCCACGAGGCCCCCGAGCCCTGCCAGGAGTGGCCCCCAAACCCAGCCAAGCAGCCAGCGAGGGGCCCAGCCGCTCCCTAGGAGACAGCGTCTCGGTGCTGTGCTGCCAAGGCTTCCGGGCTGAGCCCCGAGACTGACTCGGGTCCCTGTTCTCGCCCCTCAGAGCTGTCTCACTCCGCTGTTCGATGACGACCCTGGGCAGCCGCGGGCAGCCACAGCGATCCGGCAGGTGCCAGCGCAGGTAGGAGGATGGGCCAGAGCCACCCCCAGCTCGGACAGCAGGGTGTGGGGTCTGCCTGGCCTGCCACCCCCCGGCCCCGGCCCAGACAGTGGGGTGCAGGGGCCCGCAGAGCCAGCCCCCAGGGTCCTCAGAGCCGGCCGACAGTGGGGTGTGGCACTGCCCAGCTCTGAGCCCCAGGGGTTGTGCATGGGGACAGCCCGGCTGAGCTGCAGCTGGCCAGGAGCCTGGCTCAGGGAGGAGCCTCCTGAACCCCTGTCGGGGAATGAGGCAGCTGCTCGGGGCACGTCCCTTTCCCCGAAGTGTTTGATTTGCTGGTAGCAAACACAGGCTGGGTCGAGTGAGAAATCCCAGAGGGAACCTTGGCAGAAGCGGGAGGAATGTGGAGGCCGGCCTGGAGCTGGGTGGACGGGCGCGTTGGCGGCGCGTGTCTTGCAGGCGTGTAGCTGGGCAGCGCCTGAGGTGGGCAGAGCCGTAGCCGGCCATGGAGAAGTACGAGAAGCTCGCCAAGATCGGGGAAGGCTCTTACGGGGTCGTGTTCAAGTGCAGAAACAAAACCTCGGGCCAGGTGGTCGCCATTAAGAAATTCGTGGAGTCTGAAGACGATCCCGTAGTGAAGAAGATCGCCCTCCGGGAGATCCGCCTGCTGAAGGTGGGCGCAGGCCCGAGCCCTGCGGTGTGCAGAGGCTTGGCGGTGGTTTTGCTTGGTAGCACTGTAGCTGTCCTCCCGTTGCTCATCGATTGGCTCGAGCGGGCCCAGTAACGTCTCCATTGGAGACTTTGTTGTTACTGTGTTTGGCATAGCGAAGACGTGCCGGGGAGCTTGCCAGGCTCTGCCGTGCGGGCGAGATTCTCTCGGTAGCTTGCCGGGCTCTCCGAGAGGGGCGGAGGAATCGAACCTGGGTCAGCCAGGCCGGCCGCATGCAAGGCAAACGCCCTACCGCTGTGCTCTCAGCTATGCAGCGGGCAACGCGCTGGCCTTGCATGTGGCCAACCCCAGCTTGATCCCCACATCCCATCTGGTCCCCTGAGCATTGCCAGGAGGGACCCCTGAGTGCAGAATAACCCGAGTGTCGCCAGAGGTGGCCCCCAAACGAAACCAGACCAAAGAAAAAAAAGCAGCTTATTTCAATCTCCTCGGAAAGTCCTTGCTGCTAGCTGCGGTAAACTGACCCTCACTTTGGTCCCTAGTGGTCCTTGAGACTCCGGGGCCAGCTGAAGGTCGTTGGAAGACCAAATGTTTCCACTCTGGGAAATCCTGGCCCCGGGGGTGACTGGAGAGATAGCCCAGCGGCGAGGGCGCTTGCCCTGCATTCGCCGACCCGGGTTCAATCCCTGGCACCCATAAGGCCCTGCGAGCACTGCCATGGTTTCTGAGTGCAGAGCCTGGAGTGGCCCCCGAGCATCGCTGCCCCCAGCCGGAGTGCCCCTTCCCACAGCCCTGCCCCGCCCTGCTCTCGGGTCGGGTTGGCAGCCCACAGCCTTCTGCTCCCTTCGGGGACCCAGACACAGACCTGCCTTTCTCGCGGCTGGAGAGGGAGCACATCCGTCCTCAGAACCCCACCAGGACTGAGCACTGAGCACTGAGCATCCCCTGGTGTGGCCCAGCAGCCAAGAAAGGAGCAAGCGAGATTCCTCCCCGCTCCGTGATCCACTGTCCTTGGGCAGGGAGCGCCCTGCAGCGCTTGCAGGCCGCCTCCCAGTGCTGCCGGAGGGGACCCCACCTGCAGATATGTGCCCGAGACCCCTGGGACGCAGACTGAGTCCAGCACCAGAAGAGGACCCAGCTCAGCAGGCCGACTCTGGGCCTGACCCTTGAAGACCTTACCAGGTGGAACCCACCCAGAAATATTTAAAAATCGGATTCACAGAGCCACTCGGCCCCCAAGCAAATGGGCAAAGGATAGGGCTGGAAAGACTGTCCACCTCAGGAGGCCAGGAATGGGCTGTCGAGGCCTGACCCCAGGGCCCTGTGTCCAGTGGCCCGCAAGCCCCCGGCTCCCCGCTTCCTTCCCGCAGCTCAAAGCCTACCCTCCACCCCCGAGCCTTAGTGGTCTGGGTTACTGTACTTCCGTAAAGTGCCGGCCGGCTCCGTATTTCAACGGCATTTCTATTTTGAAGGTGTTAGCCTCTAGTTCCTCTCCAAAGAGATTCAAGCAACTTAGTGACGATCTGTTACAGGTTTATTGGCTGAATCCTTCAAATTCTCTCAACCTGGGAGCCTGTGATTTTACTCAGAATAGTTTCTCTTTGGGGCTGGAGCGATAGCACAGCGGGTAGGGCATTTGTCTGGCACGCGACCGACCCGGGTTCGATTCCCAGCATCCCATATGGTCCCCTGAGCACCGCCAGGAGTGATTCCTGAGTGCAAAGCCAGGAGTAACCCCTGAGCATCGCCGGGTGTCACCCAAAAAGAAAAAAAAAACAGTTTATCTTCTGGGTCGATGATAAGTCAGTGTGATAAACCCCGCCTCAGAGGAGCCAAGAGAGTACAGGGCTAAGGCGCTGCCCTGCGTGCCACTGGCCCAGGCCCATCCCGCCACCACCCCTGGTCCTGGAGCACCTCCGGGGCCACCCCGGAGCCCAGAAGCAGGAACAGACCCCGAGGAGCACTGGGTGTGTCCCCCAAGCCCCAAAGTCGATGATAATAAAAGATCCAAAAGAGCAAGCCTTTTATTCTTTTCTTTCTTTCTTTCTTTCTTTCTTTCTGTCTTTCTTTCTTTCTTTCTCCAGGGGAGGATGTTGGTCTGAACCATCCCCCGTGCTGCTCAGGGTCTGGTTGTGGTGGGCCCCAGGGGACCCTGTGTGGGACCCAGAGTGAGCCGGGGCCCGCGGGATGCAAGGCAAGAGCCTTGCCCTGTCCTCATTCCAGCCAGGTCTTTTCCCCTCAATCTGGTGAGGGGCTGGGGAGAACCCCCCCCCCCCCCCGTGCTGTGTTTGATTCCTTCCTCCGCAGCAACTGAAACACCCCAACCTGGTGAACCTGATCGAGGTGTTCCGGAGGAAAAGGAAGATGCACTTGGTGTTCGAGTACTGTGACCACACACTCTTAAACGAGCTGGAGAGAAACCCAAACGGGTAAGTGCTCTCGAAACCCCGTCTCCATATGCCTGCTCCTCAGCCGGCGGGGGTGAATGTGGAACCGCGTGGAGGCAGGCGGCGAGGGGCGAGTGAGGAGCGGCGTGGCCAGTGGCTGAGGTGTGGGTGTGGAGTGGTGTGCCGTCAGCTGGCATGCTCAGCTCCTTTCCTGGGGAGGGTCCAGAGAGAGAGTACAGTGGGGGGGAGCTTGACGGCCAGCCAGCACCACACCCGTCCCCCGAGACCGACAGGAAGTGGCCCGCACAGAGCCCGGGAAGCCCTGAGGGCTGGCAGCTGTGCCTCCCCCACAAGACTTAGCCAGGCTGGCAGCACGGGGGTCACGGTGCTCACCTTGCACTCGGCTGTCCTCTGTTGGTGCCCGCAGTGGCCCAGAAGAGAGCCGGGACAGTCGGGACTCAGCCCCCGAGCACAGACGGCAGCTGGCAAACCTCGTCTGGAAGGCAACGGCTCCATGCAGGCAGACCCCGTGGGCAGGGCCAGGGCCTTGGCACCTTCTCCCGACTGCGGCCACCCCGTCGTGTGGTGGGGACTAGGATCAAAGAGCAGGCCGCCGCCATGGTGGCACGGACGGTTCTGGAAGGCCAGCGAGAACCGCCCGGGGTGTGGTTGGAATGAAGGGACCCAGGACAGGGGCTGCAGACCCAGTGCGACACCAGCAGCTTCGGGTCCAGGGGCGGGAAAGGCCCCCGGGGACAGGCCAGAGCCAGGCGAAGGGTCCTGCAGAGGCGGCGGGTGCGGGCAGAGCCAGGCGAGGCGCGTGGGCCTCGGGCCGGGTTGCTCCTTGTTGCAGAGACACTTGCCTGCCTCTAACTAAACGCGCGGGAAACTGGGCCAGAGCCGGGGAGAGCAGTGCCCTGAGCTCAGCCAGGGGTGGTCCAAGCAGCAAACACAGGACCTGAAACAGAACGGCAACAGAGCTGAGGAACTGGATGAAACCGGCCGGCAGGGACAGCAACATGACTTCAGAACGACAGTTGCAGGATTGGAGACCAAACCTAGACAAAACTAAGACGCGCCGAGAAGTGTTTTCCCGCTGGCTTCGGGCACGGACCCCCTTGGACACATACTTCCCCTCTTTCTAAGCGAGTTTTATTCAAGACTGACTAGTGGTGCCGCAGAGTGACACGGCCCCGCCCTGGACCCAGGACACCGCTGGAGGGACCTGGGGTGTGTGTGGGGGGGGGGGGGGTTGCTCCCAGCGATGCACAAGCTGCTGCACTTCCAGACACCACCTGCAGGGGGCGCCGGAGCAGCAGAGGAGACCTCTGGAGACCTGAGTCAGTCACTGTTGGTCCCGGTGCTTCTGCCCAGCCTGGGGGCAGAGCTGTGGCAGGGGCTCTTTTATCAGACTGTGGCCGCGGGGTCTGGGGGGTGCAGCCCAGGAGGCGTGTCAGGCGCTCCCCTCTGGGGCGGCTGCGGGGAAGCCTGTGCACAGCCCAGGGCATTGGCAGCTGCTGCGTGTCACCAGCTCCCTGAGCAGGCACCTGCGCCCAGTTCCACGCGGTCAGGTCCCCCTAGGAGGCCGCGGTGCCCCCACAGACACAGGACTTCACTGCCCACCCAGAGGGAAACGTCGAGGGATGACTGCTCGGAACAGATTCGAACTTTGCGGGTTTTTTGGGGGGAGGGGGTCACACCCAGCGATGCTCAGGGGTTCCTCCTGGCTCTGCGCTCAGGAATGACTCCTGGCGGTGCATGGGGGACCCTATAGGATGCCGGGATCGAACCCAGGTCGGCCGCGTGCAAGGCAAACGCCCTCCCCGCTGTGCTATCGCTCCAGCCCGAACTTTGAGTTTTCAACCGGAAGAACCCTCACTGTGGACACTTAGTCCGAGAATCTGGAGCTGCAGGCACTGTGCAGCCTTAGTGGGAGGTCCTGCGTTCCACGAACAACAACGAAATCTGGTGTTTCCAGTTCCAAGGACCTGCAGGCGGCAGCCCCTCTCGGCAGACAGGGTGGAAATAAAGCACGTGGAGAAGAACGTTGGCGGCATCCACGCAGCTGTGCTCGAGCAGACGCCAAGAGCCCACCTCTCGGCGCAGACAGGGCAAGCTGAGGCAGCAAGGCAGGAGGGCGAGCCCAGGGCCCACGGCTGCAGAGGAAAGCCCCCCGCGGTCAGGAGGCGCAAGGCCGCCCACAGGTCTTCCCTGGAACCTCAGACGGGCAAACCCGGCACTGGAAAAGCACCCACGGGCAGGACAGTGTAGCGATAGTGACCTCCGCACTGACCCCTACACTGACCCCTGCGCTGGGCAGTGATGCGCACGCTGGGCCCTGACCCCACACAGGAGACCCGCAGCTGACCTGTCCTGAGCGGCAGTGACTGGCTTCTGGTGACGGGGCTCGCGGGCAGCCCTGCTGGGAGGCTCTGGTTGGGGGTTCCGGTTGGCTTTGGGTCTCCCCCGGAGACGCTCAGGGGTCACTCCTGGCTCGGCACTCGGGATCTCTCTGGCAGGCTCCATGGGATGCCGGGGTTCGAACCCAGGCTGGCTGCGTGCCAGGCAAATGCCCTCCCTGCTGGGCTGTGGCTCCAGCCCCGAGCCTGTGTTCCGAGGGGGACTTGGGGCACACCCGGCAGTGCTCGGTGGTCTCTCTGCTCAGCCCTGTCTCTGGGCTTGGAGGTCGGGCAGGAGTCGGTCACCTGCAGGGGAAGGGCCTTCACCTGTACTGTCTCTCCAGCCCATGGAACACGTCTGTCTGTCTGTCTGTCTGTCTCTCAGACCTGCCTGCTTTCTTCCTCCTTCTCTCTTCCTTTCCCCGTTTTCCCTTTCATTTCCGGGCTGCACCAGGCAGTACTCGGGGCTGACTCCTGGCTCTGTGCTCAGGGGTCAGTCCTGGCAGTACCCTCCGCACTGTCCTTCCTCCCAGCCAGACGCTGCCTGTAGGTGGTGCCCAGATGGGATCCGGCGGGAAACAGTGTCCGGTACTGTCCACACTGGGACTGGCCTCGGGGCTCCGCGGCCTCCCTGGGCCGGGCCCGTCTCCTGCCCGGAAACCCCAGCAAGCCCAGGGGCTTCACGATGAGCCCGCGCCCCGGCCTGTCCCAGGGGGCGCTCAGGACTGCAGACCCCTGGGACCCCAACCATGGCTCACACGCACCCGGCTGGTCCCAGAACGCCCGCCCCACCCCCCCCAGGGACTTGAGAAGGGCCCTGATGCTCAGAGGCACAAGTGGCCAGCCGTGCCCTGCCGAGAGCCCGAGAGCCCCGGTCAGCCGCACCCGCTTCCGTCTCCTTGTCCCCCAGGGTCCCCGACAGCGTGATGCGGAGCGTGCTGTGGCAAACTCTCCAGGCTCTCCACTTCTGTCACAGACACAACGTAAGTCACTTCTCCCGCCTCTGTTGGTGTTTCCGCGAGACGTTCTCTGGGGCGCTGGGGCCAGGGGCACTGGGGATGGAGCCCAGCAGAATTGGGCACACCCGCCCTGCCCCTCCGTGTCCACTGCAGGCCCCGCGGGCCCCAAGGCCTTTCACCACAGGCTCGCTGGGGCAGGTTTGCACTCTGGGAGCGTTTTCCTGACTGACCCGCGTGTGGTGCGGTGGCGCTGGGTTTGCCCGGGGCTGTGAGGCTCCCCCTTGGCTCATTTTCTGAAACCCAGACTCAGAGGGAGCAGCATCTGGCACGTCCCAGCAGCGCCCCCAAACACTGGTCAGGAGCAGCCCCCCCCCCAGGTAAAGCCCAGAACCAGGGCTGGGGCGGGCGCCCTCGGGGCAGGCACGAGGTGACCTTCTCCACTGGGGCACAGCTGGCCAGGCTCCTGAGGGGCATCTCCCCGCCACAGAGGGGACAGTCACGCTCTGGCGACTAGTGAATTGGGTTCAGGAGGCCGCGAGTCTCCACCCCAAGGCCATGCTTTGGCCTGATTTGTGAGTCTGTTCTGTTTTGTTCTTTCTTTCTTTTTTCCTTTTTGGGTCACACCCGGCAATGCTCAGGGGTTGCTCCTGGCTCTGCACTCAGGAATTTCTCCTGGCGGTGCTCAGGGGACCACATGGGGTGCTGGGATTGGAACCCGGGCCGGCCACATGCAAGGCAAAAGCCATACAGGCTGTGCTTACGCTCTGGCCCCTTGAGTTCGTTCTTGAAGGTACTGGTTGTCAGCAGGATTTCTCCTCATAGAATAGCACCCCAGAAAGGGTGGCTCGGGGGGTTCGGATCTCGGGGGAGGGTCACACTCGCAGAGAAACAGTCTCCTAGAGCACTCCGTGCCCCACCAGGCCCAGGCAAAGGCGGAGGGAGTAGGCAGGGTTACAGCTCGGTGGGGGGCTCTGGGTCCCATCTCCAGGGCCCCCAAAGAACAAACACAGAGAAAGTGGAAGAAACAATTGCATGGACCCCCTCCCCCACCCGACCCGAGTCAGTCACACGCGTTTCACATCCAGCAGTTAGAACTGTGACGTCATTGCGGATGCAGCACCTCCTCTCTTTTGGGCCCTGTTTAAGTGAAAACTGGCTGACTGAGAGGCTTGAGCCACAGACAGCGGGGAGGGCGCTGGCCTTGCATGCGGCCAATCTGGCTCAATCCCTTGTGACCCATATGACCCCGCAGCATGTCCAGGAGTGACCCCTGAGTGCAGAGCCAGGGGGAACCCCTCGGCATCACCGGGTGTGGCCCCCAAACAAAACAAAAGCAGACAGAAAGAAAGGAAAGGGAAGGAAGGAAGGAAGGAAGGAAGGAAGGAAGGAAGGAAGGAGGAAGGAAGGAAGGAGGAAGGAAGGAGGAAGGAAGGACATGGCCAACTTAGAAGGAAGCCAGCCTCAGCGTCCATCTGTCAGACTGACGCGATGTGTGTAGCGGGTCTTGTTCCGTGACTCAGACGATCAATGTTATTTCCCAGTGTATTCACAGAGATGTGAAGCCAGAGAACATCCTCATAACCAAACAAGGCATCATCAAGATCTGTGACTTTGGCTTTGCACGGATTTTGAGTAAGTGGCACTTTTTTGGGGGGGGAGGGGCCCTACCCAGTGATGCTCAGAGTTACTCCTCCTCTGAGCTCAGGGATCACTCCTGGTGGGCTCGGCTCAGGGATCCTCTGGGGTGCCGGGGTTGGAACCCTGGTCCCCCACAAGACAAGCTCCCTACTTGCTGTACGATGGCTCCAGCTGAAGTAGCACTTTTTAAATTCACCCAGTCGGGCTGATGGCGCGGAAGTGGACGCAGCCCTGTGGCCGGAGGCTTGCTCGGGGCTGGGCTGGGCCGGGCACACCCCACGGGTCCCCTCAGCGCCCGCTGCCCTTGCAGTCCCGGGAGACACCTACACCGAGTACGTGGCCACGCGCTGGTACCGGGCACCCGAGCTGCTGGTGGGGGACGCGCAGTACGGCTCCTCCGTGGACGTCTGGGCCACGGGCTGCGTGTGCGCCGAGCTGCTCACGGGCCAGCCGCTCTGGCCGGGCAAGTCCGACGTGGACCAGCTCTACATGATCATCAGGACGCTGGGTAGGCGCGGGGGCGGGGCGGGCGGGGCTTGCGGACGGGGGGGTGCTCTGAGGCCGCTAGGCACCGTGTGCGACGGGGCTCTGCCCTCGGGCCCCCTTTCCTCGGTCAGGCGGGTGGGTCTCCGCATGGCCTGGCGGTCCCCGCTGTCTCCGTCAGGTGCTTCTCCCCATCTGTGTGACTTGGGGAGCTTCTGTGAGGGCCGGCGGCGTCCAGCAGCGCCCCCTTCCCGGCCCGATCCCACGGCCGCCCCTCGAGCAGGGGCAGGCATCGCTGAGCCCGTACTGGGCCGGGAGCCGGCCCTCAGGTCCTGCTGCGTTCCCAGCCGGGCTGGCCACGGCACCTCGGTCACCTCTGGCCTCCAGGGCCACCGTGGGTGGGTCCCCACTGCAGCCTCGTGTCCCTGCACTGAGCAGGGCGTGTCTGTGCTCGCAGGGAAACTGATCCCGAGGCATCAGGCCATCTTCAGGAGTAACCAGTTTTTCCACGGCGTCAGCATCCCGGAGCCGGAAGACATGGTGACCCTTTGCGCCCGCCTCCCTCCGGCAGCCGCTCCCTTTGACCATGGGCCTGGTGCAGGGGTGTGCCTGTGTGTGTGTGCGCGTGTGCACGTGCGTGTGTGTGCGCGCAAGTGGCAGATTCTCCTGGGTCTCTCCCCCTGGCCCACCCCTAGGCCGCATGGCTCCTGGCTGTCCTGCTCTCGGGGCTCTGGAAGCTAGCCGGAAAGCCCAGTGCGCCTTCACCCCTCCCTTCTAAGAGCCCTTGGGCCTCGCGTCCAACCCCAGTGCCCTTTTTTTTTTCTTTTTGGGTCACACCCGGCGATGCACAGGGGTTACTCCTGGCTCTGCACTCAGGAATCACTCCTGGCGGTGCTCGGGGGACCATACGGGATGCTGGGAATCGAGCCTGGGTTGGCCGCGTGCAAGGCAAACGCCCTCCCCGCTGTGCTATCGCTCCAGCCCCCCAGTGCCTTTCTTTACCAAAATGATTTTCCTTTGAAGGAAACTTCCAGCGTCTTTTCCCCCTTCATTCCGTTTTTGTCTGGGGCCACACCTAACAGTTCTCGGGGACTCTCCCAGTTCCCTGCAGTGCCGGGGAAGGAACCTCTGTCTACTGCCCAGGACTGGCACTTTGGCAGTGGACATCCATCGGCAGGCCCGGCGGGGTGACGTTGGTTGGAGAGATTGAGCCAAATGCAAGGGGCACAGACACACGGACTGCCCGAGCTCCTCAGTGGCCTGACGGGGCAGCTGTCTAAGCTGACGGTGACCATGCAGACAGCCAGAGGCGCCAGGGTTAGCTCCTGCGGGTGCCCAGCCCTGAGGGGCCCCTGAGCCAGGAGAGGCCCTGACCTCCGCAGTTGGGCCCGGAGAGAGTCCAGCAGAGGGCGCTGTCCACAGCCGATCCAGTTCTGTCCCCGCTGACCGCGTCCACTGTCAGGCCCCCGCGCTCCGGCCCAGCCTGTTTACTGGGCTCTAAGTTCCCAACCGAAATTGGGAGGCATCGTGGAATTAAGAAAAGAAATCATTTTATATCTTTTAATTCCTACATTATGGTGTAAAATTGGGTAAATATATTATTTTGTTTTATTCTTATTTTATCCGTTTGGGCTGGAGCGATAGCACAGGGCGTTTGCCTTGCATGCAGCCGACCCGGCCGACCCGGGTTCGATTCCTCCGCCCCTCTTGGAGAGCCCGGCAAGCTACCGAGGGTGTCTCGCCCACACGGCAAAGCCTGGCCAGCTCCCCTGGGCGTATTCGATATGCCAAACACAGTAACAACAAGTCTCACAATGGAGAAGTTACTGGGCCCGCTCGAGCAAACCAGCGAACAACGGGAGGCCCGTGCTACGGTGCTATTTTGTCCGTTTATTTGGTGTTGGTGGTGCTCGGGGCTCCTCCTGGCCCTTTCATTTGTTTTTTAATCTAAGTGATTCTCTAACCTTTGGGAAATGCCCCCCCCCCCAGTCACTCATCCTCAGGGCCCCAGTGCACGCCTGTCCCGTGGTTCCCTGGAACCCAGGACGCTGCTCTTGCTTCCAGGAGACTCTCGAGGAAAGGTTCTCGGATGCTCATCCCGCAACTCTGAACTTCATGAAGGTACTTCAGAACCCTGAGAGCTGGCGCTGGAGGCGGGGCGGCCTGTCCTCAGGGATGGCAGGGGGGTTTCCCTTCAGACCCCAGCCCCTGGGCGGGGCCGGGGGTGGGTGGGGAGCACACCCTGCAGGGCGAGGCAGGAGGGGGCCAGCCAGGGTCAGGGAGGAGCCTGGCTCCGTCCTGGGAGACGCAGGTCTGGGCCCCTCTGCGGGTGGATTCAGACCCTTTCGATGGGCCCCCGAAGGAGCAGCAGGCTGGCAGGATGTCCTGGCCGTGGGCACTGGCCTCCAGGCTGGGAGGCTGCCCCCTGCCCTCAGCCACACCTCAGCACAGCCCCCCTGCAGCGGCCCCGAGGTGGGTGCTGGGTGCTCAGTACTCACTCTCACAGGCAGAACCGTTCCTGCTGCCAGTCCGTCCCTTCTGGTCAGTGGACTGCTTTGCCCGGGAGCTTGTGGCCAGTTTGCAGCTGGGCAAAGAGACCCGGGCTGGACCTCAGCTCCGGTTCCATAGACCTGCCTCTTAGAGCCTCCCCTGGGTGGGCGAGCGCTGGCCAGGACCCTGCCGGCCACCCCACGCAGCCCCTGCACTTGGCCTCAGGTTCCGACGGCCCATGCGGGCTTTCCGGGTCAGGCCGTGCCAGACTCGGGTGCTCGTGGCACTGCAGGCTGAAAACGAGCCGTCCAGTTCAGCCTCATGGGCCATGGGCCACCAGGAGTGCCCCCCCGCCCGTCATCCGCGCTCCCCTGGGCGCCCCCCACTCATGAAACCAAGGGTTTGGCTGGACTGAGAGTCCCAAGGGGCTGGCCGGCTCCCAGGCCCGTGTCCCGTGGTGAGTCGGGGACCCTGAGGGCACTGAGCTGTCACCTGTAGAATTTCCGGTGGGACCCCAGACCCCTGAGCCGAGATGGTCAAGGAACAGAGAAAAAGTAACTGGATTCAAGCTGGAGGTTGCGAATTCTGTTACTTTGTTGCCGTCCTCCGGAAGCTGCTGCAGGGCAGACCCGGGGCATCCCTGCTCGCCCAGGCCAGCAGGTGCTGCCCTCGCCCGGCCGGCCACCCTCCAGCCTCCGCCCTGACTCGGGCAAACCAGCCACCCCCTGCACTTCGGGGGCCTGAGTGCTGCCAGGCGGGCACCAGCCGCAGAGCCGCCCTGCGCGTCCCGCTCCGGACACTCCCCTGCTCGGGCGGACGCTCCCCTGCTGTCCCCTCAGGCTGGGAAAGGCTCGCGTGGCCCCCAGGGTCCACTGAGCAGGTGCTGCCCGCCGGGCCCCTTGGACCGCCGGTGGCTGTTAGGGGGGCCGGGAGGCCCCGGCAGCGTCGCCCGCCTCACCCTGCGCCCCCCCAGGCCTGCTTGCGCATGAACCCGGCCGACAGGCTGCCCTGCGCCCAGCTCCTGGAGAGCCCCTACTTCGACCCCTTCCGCGGGGACCCCCTGAAGAGGAAAGCGCGGCACGAGGGCCGAAGCAGACGGCGCCCCCAGGTACCTCCGACGCCCCCCGCCCTGCTGTGACCCTCGACCCCCTCGTCCCTCCTGCCTCTGTTGACCTCGGTCTCTGGTGACTGGAACCCAACAACACAGCATGGGACCCGAGTGGCTCCGTGGGGGGCGGGGCGGGCGCCGTGGGGGACACGGGCGAGCCCTGTGGGGCGTGGGGGCGCGCTGCACTGGCTGAGCTCGGGCCTGGCCTGGCGAGGAAGCCCCTCGCGTTGTTTGGGGTTTTCTCTCTCCTGTCCCCCTGACCCTGCTGCACAACAACCTCTGATGTGTAGCAGAAGTTGGTGGAGACCCCTGGGGCCCCGCGGCTGCTCCCCCCATCTCCTGCGTGCCCCCCACCCCGGGAAAGGCTCTTTCTTCCCTAGGGGAACCCAACCTCAGTCAGAGGTGACGCTCGCTCAGGGGCGCCTGCATCCTGGAGGTGGCCGGGGGAGACCGCCCTGCTGTCACTGCTGCCATCCGGCTGGGGGCCCCACTCGGGACCCGCATTTCCAGGCTGCCCAGCATTTCTGAGCCGAGAGCTGATAGCCACGGCTGCTGCCATCCCAGAATTATCCCCCCCCCCCCCCCGCTGCCATGGATGGGTGTGCTCAGGCGGCCGGTGGGGGTCTCGCCCGCTGCGTGGCCCAGCTCCCAGTGCTGGACCGATCAGGACCTCGCTGACCCCAGTTCCCTGAGAACAGTAGCGAGAATGGTCAGAGCAGTTCAGAGCGGACTCTGGCTCGGAGCCAGCAGAGGAGCACTAGAGCGTGAGAATCAGCGTTAAGCACGAGGGTCCCAGTGTCAGGCAGGGTCACCTGGTTTAATCTGGAGATTGTCTCTGGGGCTGGGAGGACAGTACGGGAGGAGGGAGAGTTGCAGCACGTGGCTGACCTGTCAGACCCCCAGCACCGGTCTCGGTCCCCTGAGCATGGCCAGAGCAGGGCCAGGAATGGCCCCGAGCTCCGTGGCGTGCCCCAGACACCCCCACCGGCCAGTGGGCTGATGTCTCTCAGCATCCTCCGACCGTCCTCCCTTCCCTCGGCCACAGGCCACCGGGTCCCGCTGACCTTCTCGCCTTTGTCTCGTTCTGCCGCTAGAACCAGCTGCTGCCTCTCATCCCCGGAAGCCGCCTGTCCCCCGCCCCCGACGGAAGGAAGCAAGTCCTGCAGTTAAAATTCGACCACCTGCCAAACATTTAGGGGACCCTCCCGGGCGCAGCGTGGACTGGCGCGTGTCCGTGCGGAGTGCTGGACGCCCCCTCGCCCCTGCCTCCCAGACCAGCTCACCTTCCCTAACTGCCATAAAGTCTGACGCTGCCCCCAGGAGAGCGCTCCCTGTCTCAAGCGGCCACTCCGGGCTCTGCTGCCACGGTGCTGTGCCCAGGGTGGGGGCGGGTGGCGCCGCGCTCAGGGGACCTGGGGGGGTCCCCGTCCTGGCATGTCAGAGCACGGGGTCGTGGTGGTCCCAGTCAGTGGGCTTCCCGGGCTGACCCCGTTTGCTCCCACACTCGTGGGCCTGCGGTGAGGCTGGGCTGGGGTCTATCCCGGTGGGGAGGAACCCTCGGCATGGGGTGTATGGGCCAGGCCAGGCTCAGCTCTCTCCGGGACGGTGCCAGGTTAAATGCAGGCTCAGCGGAGGGCCAGTGCCGGGCCGGGTCAGGGGTCGGCCCACTCGGGCTGACAGGTGCCCTCGCTCTCGCCCTCCTGGGCTCCCCGCTCTGGGGGCCCTGGCAGAGCCCTGAACCCCCCGCAACATCCTGACAGGGGTCTGCACCTGTCCTGGGCAGCCGCTCAACATGACTGCATTACTTTCGCAAGCCTAAAACAGAAAGAGAAAAAAATTTTTTTTTTTTTGGCACCTCAGACATGGGTTCACCTAGGACGGGTAGTTTTCCTGAGTCAGCATGACGGGGGGCAGATGGAGAAGGCAGCGTAGGCAGCAGACGAAGGGGCGTCGCGGTAACACCCATGCCTGCAGGAGACTCCGAGCACCTTCCACTGGCCGACAAGGACGCTTGTAAACAGTGGCAGAGCCCGTGTGCTCTGCCCGCCGATACAAATTAAAATTGCTTCTCAAACTCTTCACTGCCCCTGGTTTGGCATGGCTCAGGTGAATGCCGTTCATTTGCAAATACAGAATTCCAGAAATTCCCACTGTCCGGCCCCAGACACCAGATCGCTGTCAAGGAAACGGTGACACCTGGTCCATGCCCCTTTGCGCCTCTCACCTGGCCCTCGCGCGGAATCTCGCCCCGTTACCTGGGCCATCCCCGTCCTCGTTAAAGAGCCGCAGGAAGGCCTGTGGGCCCGTGGGCAGCCTGGAGGGCGACGCGAAAGGCAGGGCCCTCCTGTTCCCAGCTGAGCGCCCAAGCGTGGCTGTCTTCTGGCTCCTGGGTCTTGCATTTTTTTAATTAAATATATATTTTATTAGCGAAACACCATGAGGTACATTTGTAGACTTACAAAGTTTTGTGCTTGGGTTTCAGTTATACAATGATCAAGTACCCATCCCTCCACCAGTGCCCATCCTCCACCACCACGGGTCCCAGCATCCCCCCCACCCTCCATCCCCCCGTCCCACCCTGCCTCTGTGGCAGGGCATTCCTCCTTGTTCTCTCTCTCTTCTTTTGGGTACTGTGTTTTGCAAGAGAGGCATTGAGTGGCAGTCATGTTTGGTCTATAGTCTACTTTCAGCATGCTTCTTCCACCCTGAGAGGGTCTCACAACACCCTTTATTTGATGCTCTCTTCTCTATCTGAGCTTCCTTTTCCCCAGCACGTGTGGCTGGCCTCCAAGTCATGGAGCAAAATTCCTGGTACTAATCTCGCCATTCTTGGGTGTTAGTCTCCTATTTTGTTACTTTATGTTCACGTCTGTCCCTCTCTTTCTGGCTCATTCCACTTAGCATGGTATTTTCCATGTAGTAACCTTTGTATGTAAATTTCATGACTTCATCCTTTCTCACAGCTGCATAGTACTCCATTGTGTAGATGTACCAAAGTTTCTTTAACCAGTCACCTATTCTCCAGCACTCGGGTTTTTTCCGGATTCTGGCTACTGTAAAGAGTGCTGCAATGAACAAACAAGTGCAGATGTCGCTTCGACTATACTTTCTGGCCTCTCCGGGGTATGTTCCCAGGAGTGGGGTCTTGCATTTTTAGTTGCGTGCTTCGTCAGGCTGGCTGCAGCTTAGGCTCACTCGGGCAGGGCTGGGGACTGGGACCCGGCTGGCTTCGCGCCAGGCAAGCTCTCTCCCCTCTGAACTAGCGCTCCGCCCCGCTGCCGTTTTAAAAGGCGATGCCCCAGGCGCACAAAGAGAATTGAGCGGCAGAAGGCAGCTTCGCAGACAGCTTCCACCTGAGAAGGGCTCCTGCGTTCCAGCCTTCTCGGCCAACGTTCCTGCTTGCTGTGCTCCCAAGCGGCGGGGAGAGGCGGAAGCTGGGAGACCACGCGGCCCAGCCCCCTGGAGCCAACGGGCCTGCAGAGCGATGTGGGAGTCTGGGGTCCCAGGCAGGGTCCTGGGCACCGCCCCAGCCCCAGCACACGCAGGTGTGGCCCCCAGCAAAACAGGATGGGTTCCACAAGGCGCGTCTCAAAGCCAATCCCCCAGGGTCCGTGTGACCCGTCCCCGCCCCCTGCCGGCGTCCCGCCTGCACACGCGGCTCTGCCCGCAGCAGCCCCGCCGACTGTCCAGCCGGCAGCTGCTCCCAGCATCTGGTGCTCTTGGTGCTTGTCCCCAGGTGTCCAGCTCCCGTGTCGCCGGCCCCTCTGACGCGGCCCCTAGCTCTGCTCCCTGTCTCTGTAGGGCCCCTCCCGGCCCAGGGCCTGCCCCGAGACCCGAGGCCCTGGGTTTGACCTCCGGAACCCGCTCACCTGCCCCCCCACCCCAGAGCAGACCTGCGTGTCCACCCTGAAGGCATTTTGTTCACCCCCAGCTGACTGGTTCCATTTGGCGACGTCAGTGTGAGGCTGCAGCTGACCCCAGCCCAGGGCCCCCTCCAGGCTGACTTCGGGAGGATGGTTTTTACGGGCTGGAGCACTGCAGAGGAACGTGCCGGAAGCCTCAGGGCAGGGTGCTCTGAGCGGGGAGTGGGGCCGAGGGCGGGTGCTGTGAGGAGCCGGGTGTGAGAAGAGACCCTGGCCGGGGGGTTCCCTGCTCTCAGGCTCTTGTGATATGAGACAGTCAATGCTGCTGTGGAGCATTTTCCACAGACGACATCCGAGGTGTGCGATGCGCCTTTGAACGGTCCGGCTGACTTGCCACGAACCGTTTTCAGGAAGGACGGTGCTTGCTCAGCATCAGCTTGGTCGGCCGCAGTGATTTCCTGTCCTGGTTTCGGAACAACTTGAGTGACACAACAGTCACTCAAGAAAAAATTATATCTGGGGCCTGGAGAGAGAGCACAGTAGGTAAAGAGCTTCCCTTGCACACGGCCAACCTGGGTTTGATCCCCGGCATCCCATATGATCCCCTGAGCATGTCAGGAGTGATCCCTGCGTGCAGAGCCGGGGGCCTCCTTGAGCATCGCCAGATGCAGCCCAAAAAACATTAAAAAGAAAAAGTTTGTATTTTCAATTCAAACTCACACCGAGGGCTGAGCGTAGGCTTTGCATGTGGGAGGTGGGTCAGATCCTGGCCCTCAAGGGCCCCTGAGGGCCACAGGGAGTGACCTCCAAGCACTGAATCAGGGTCGCCCCTGAGCGCTGCTGGCTATGGCCCAGACACACATTCTACAGAGCTGGGAATGGGCTCAGTGGTTTAAAGCTCTGGGTTCGATCCCCGGCATCGTAAAACAAAAACTGAGCCACAGCATAGCAGGCAGACCCGGGTTCAACCCTGGCACCCTATGTGGTCCCCCGAGCCTGCCAGGAGTGATCCCTGAACATCATCAAAACCCAAAATATAAAAATAAAATCAAAAGTCAAACCAATAGGGGCTGGAGTGATAGCACAGTGGGTAGGGCGTTTGCCTTGCACGCGGCCGACCCAGGTTCGATTCCCAGCATCCCATAGGGTCCCCCAAGCACCGCCAGGAGTAGTTCCTGAGTGCATGGGCCAGGAGTAACCCCTGTGCGTTGCCAGGTGTGACCCAAAAAGCCGAAAAAAAAAGTCAAACCAATAACAGCCATTTACTACCAGTAAAGGTCCTAGAATTCTGAAGACACCACAGGGTCAGGATGAACCAGCGGACTCTCATACACTGGTTTGTAAAGCTTATTCTCGAGGCAGAAAGATAAAATGCCACAAGGTTTCGAGTGTGTCATTAACTCAGCAACTTCATTCTTGTTTTAGTCGAAGAATGCAAGTCTTTAGAGTGGGGGGTTGGGGGCAAAATAGAAATATCCCTTGGCTGGGACTGGAGCGATAGTCTATAGCAGGGATGGCGCTCGCCTCGCGCACAGCCAACGCAGCTAAGATTTCTGGCACCCCAGATGGTCCCCCGAGCCAGCCAGGAGTGACCCCTGAGCACAGAGCCAGGAGTAAGCCCTGAGCACTGCCGGGTGTGGCCTAAAGCAAAAAGATGGCCAGTTAGGCAAAGAAGACTTAGCACATGTCTAACTTCAGGGAAATGTTGAGTAGTCTCAGTGAATAACCTAAGGGAATTCTGAAGTGGTTAATACATTGACTACACCGTGTTTAATCCAGCAATGAACGCCCCCCGCTGAGCCCGAGAGTCACACTCTTAACCTGCCCCCACTGGGAACTCTCCATCCCGCCTCGCAGAGATAAAGGCAAAGCCTTGATGTTAGGAAGTCAGAACTAGTCACTGGTTGTATCTCTAAACTGTCATGTTAGAGATATTCTGTGTCTGATTATGATTCTAGAACCCACGTGCAAAGCAATCATATCCAACTGCAGCTGTTGACCAGCATTTGATCACTGGTGTAATGGCAGGCATTATTATCAGAAAGAAATCACTGAAACTTTGTGCAACGTCGTCGTATTTTTTCCAAGCTACTTAACCTAATTATGGGATTACTCTGCTGACCTTCTGTGTGCACATATCACTTAACCTGAATATGCTCTTTGACATATTTAAATAAAACACAGCAACATTTCTGTGTCCAAAATACCTGGTCAGCTCAGCTCAATGCCCACGTTACTTGCATGAGAGCAAAGCTGGTCTCACCTTCATCTCTGGCCCCCACCTGCAGAATTTGTTATCTGATTCCTCTCAGTTGGGGTGTGGGTTGGGGCAG